CTTACGTGAAATAATTTTTGTAATCCAATTTCTAATTTTTTTATTTCTAATTCTACCTTTAACATTTTATCAATAATTTTTAGATCTATGCGAGAGCTACTTACATCATTAAACTGTATCACTAAACTTTTCAATCACTTTTATGATATTTAATAAGTAATATTTATTTCTTATAACAATCATCATCTTTTTCAGAATAGTAATTATCGTGCGAAAAAATGAGTTTTATTAGACAATAAGTTTCTATATAACCAATGTCGTGAGCTATTGTGCACATACTGCGAAGATTACGTAAACAGGCGTTCTATATATTTGCTCCTTTTTATGTGACCATCGTTGTGTGACGCAGTTTACAGATAAATATTCAACGCGCACAAATTCAGATAGTCGATATTCAATGTTCAATGTTCAGTATTAAATTTTTATCAAAATTATATAAATGCAGGTTAGGTACTTCATCGATTATCGATTCTTTAGATAGTTTATCAAATGTTTTAAGACATTAGTTGCTCTAGCTTGCTAGATAAGTATTTATATGTAGATATTATTTACAGATACTACAGAGACTGACAGGGACGAAGAAAGTTTCGCGCTCGACAAGCGCTGCTTTGTTGCCGAAGAGGACAAACATAAAGTAGCGAAACGTTAGTTGCAATTAATCATTATGTAAATATTATCCAATACCAAGTATAGTTGAAGACCACGATGCTCTCTCATGACGAGAGTGGCACTTACATTTTACGTAATCAAAATCGTGATCGGTTTATCAACATTTATGCGCGTCTATTTTCTCCTCCAATTAATTAATTATATTAATTTTATTAATATATTCGTTTGATACATTAAAAATATTGAATGATGTAAACTATTTAATTAACAACGTCATTTACGATATTTTTGCATTCATATAAGCAAGTGCTACTCGTTTGTATTTTTATCTTATCAAATTTGAGATTATTGAAATATTTAAATCAAATGTTTAGGGAGGGGCCATATATAATATTAATACACTCGTTCTAACTAAAATAGTTATATAATTAATATCCTAAATATTTAATATTATATAACTATTTAATATTTTTTTCTCTTCCGTATTTAATAATCTACGGTTACATTGATACACAGATATTTCATCTTTATCATTATACACACTACATATATAGTAAATGTTAATATTTATTTTTTTTAAATAGCATTTTTCTATCCATCTTTTGTAAAATACAATTCTATTCTTTTAATTAAATTATTTAATATTCGATGCAATATACATTAATTTTATGCCCGTATATCGTATTAAATGCATCTACAGTATCTCTGGTCTCCCCAACGACGCTATCGCGTCGCTCCGGGGCCAGTCACTCTCGAATAGAATTTTAACTTAGCCGATTCGGTACTCTCGGTCAGTCGCTGTCTTTGGGCCGCAAATAACACATCGTTCGACATTGACGCATATATATGCCGATCTCGCGATTTCAACGACCGCAAACAGTGTTCGAACAAATCATATTCCAGTGCTATTGACTGTGAAATCCCATGAAATTAACTTTTTATAGTGCGCCTGTTGTGAGCGAACATTCAAATATATTATTTTTAATACTAAAAGAAAAATCCAATATTGGAAGACTAAAGACTACATATTTTAATGTGAAGTAAATGCATGACATAATTGAAAATAACGTAAATGTGAGAAATTTTTTTTATTTTAAAATTCTTTGTTCGAGAATAAAAAAATAGTGCTTAATTAAATAATTCTGAAAAAATTGTGCTACACAAATAATTTAATTTGATCTTTATTACATACTTCATCACAGAAATAATTATGTTTAATGAAATTTTGTATCATTTCTTAAAAAATATTTCCGGGATAATCCTGAATTAAAAGATTGTACGATTATATATATTTTCAGAATTGATCTTTGGAACAAAGATAATCTTTCGACCGATTTAGTTAAATCTAAGTAATTCAGTATTTCTAAAATCAAAATTCGATACTACTTTAATGATTATTAATTAAAATTATATTGTTATTTGGCACACGTGATTTATAATATTTTATTAAAATAAATATTTTCATAATAATCTTATCAATACGAAGTATGCATTTACATTTTAATTCTAGAGAATTTAATAATTTTTATTTTATTATTTATAAAGTACAGAAAAACAAATTCAATCTTTGTATGGTTTTATAAGTTTATAACTTTTTTTTAATACTATCGAAGTTTAACAATCCAAGTTTATATTCAACGAATTATCACAAATTTATAATTCCAACTTCTTTATTATATATATTCTATTATATTCTTACAAATTAAATAATTTAAAATTTTTATTAATAAAAGAGAATATCATTAAATTAATAAGCAGAATTGCAAAATATTTATAAATACAATATTAATTTGCAGGAAGTTATTCGCAATAATATTAATAGTATATTTTTTATTTATATTATTAAAAAAACTTAGTTTTGTGTGTTTGTGTAATTAATAATATAAAATTTATGATAAAAATATTTAGTAATACATCTATCGAGATTTGAAATAATTGAACTTTATTATGGACATAAAATGAAATAAAACTTATTTAATTATTGTAGGCATTTTAATGATTTGATAGAAGATAAATTTTACATAGTAAAAATTTAATGACGTGATAAATAATAACACAAAGCAAGTGATGAGAACAAATGCGAAAAAATTCAATTTCATGCAGTATGAAGTCACGTAACTCTGTGTAACTCAATGATTGAAAGGCCGAAAACATAATTCATATGGCATCGCCGCCGAATAAATATTTTTTTCCAAGCGAGAACGAAGACAGCTTGGAGGATGAATTATTTCCAATTCATTTCTTCGGTGCGTCAACAAACATATTTAATTTTGAGCTCGACTTTGATCGTATTAAATACATGTGCGCTCATTATATAATTATTTTTTTATAATACGTATATATTATACTTTATATATACGTTAGTCTATTAATAGAATGTATTTTTCTTTAAAATAATTAAAGCAACAATTAATCCATTTTGCCAATTAGAATCAATTGACTTTTAATTGCAATTAATGATACTGTGACCCATAAACCCCATAAGATATGCGTATTGAATAGGCAACTGCATCCCTAACGAGCCTCATCACGATAATTACTAATGCATTGACAACTGAATCAAGTTAATTGATAGATTGAGAGCGCAATTAAGAAAAAAAAGTTCGATACACTGAAATAGAATATCGCTTCCAGAGTTATGCGAAACTAAGCGTGGCTCTAGAGTCGATAGCTATGGTCATGTTTAGCATCTACCTGTTGCTGAGAATTTTTGATTATTCGAAAAACATCCCTCTGAGCATTGAATTATAATTGAATTTATAAATATTCAATGGGGTTGTTTCAGGTAAGACGGATGTGCTTGACATTGTGGATAATAAATATGAAAAAACATTTTTTGAGGACATCACACACGATGAAAATGGCGATTACTTGACCCTCGTAAGTTACAACATTATCATTTATTGTAGTATATGAATATAAATTGTTTTATTTTATGTAATTAATTTGTGCATTATATATATTATCCTTTCATTTAATTCAAAGAAATTAAAACAAACTAATAAGCAGTTTATTTTTAATGTTTTCAATTTATCTTTTTGCCAATTATTTATAAATGTAGCAATATGCAAAACTTTTAAATTTTCTCTGTAAAATAAATCTTCAAATTATAATAATAATAATAAATTACAGTATTAGTTAAAGATATAAATTTTGCGAATATTTTTTCTATGATTGTTTTCTTGATAAAACAAAAGATAAGATAATATTAATATTTTGTTGAATTGTTCGCAAAAGCAAACTTTTATTTTATCTATTAGCAAGCACGCGATGAAAAGTGATTCAAGAAAATGTATATTAACGATACGTGACGCGACATGTGACGTAGACGTGCGTTATCACGTTTCTATTAATCAAGCCTGCTATCTAGACTCCTTCACATTTATAATCAAAGATAAGAATCGCATAGGCATTGTTATTTTGCATGCTTTTGAATGCGAATAAAAAACAGATTGATTTTTATTGTATCGATAGATCATTGCCTGTTTTTTTCCTTTTGAATTTTTGAAATAATATCGTTCATATTTAAAAATATAATTATGTTAAATAAATGTGCGAGAGAAAGAGAGGCGCGCAGTTACTTAATAAATAAATTTTCTAAATATTATATATTTTTCTTTGTTTTATAGCGCGTTGTTTAATATTTTAAAAATTAGATATATATGTAATAAATATTTATAGTGTAAAATCGCTATATCAAAATTGTTATAAAATACTCAGAAAAAAAATGTATATATAATTATATATAATTATGTATAATAAGATTTGTTTATTTATCCGAGTATTATATTGTACTTGAAAAAGAAAATCTAATATAATTCTGATATTTTTGCGTAATTTCATATAAAGTTAAAATATTTTTGATATAATTATATATATCATAATAGTAAATAGATTATTATACATAATTATATAATTAGATATAATTATATCTACACAATTATATATAATTAAATATAAACTTTTTTTCCCGAGTATTAAGTTTTACAACTAAATATTTGGTAAATATTTGTTGTGTAATTGTTGTTTAAAAAATCTATAAATATAAACAATTCAGAATTTACAATTAAATTGATTAAAAATAATAGTTATTAAAATTAATAAGTAGTAATAAGTAATTATAAAGTCTCATTATATAATAATTTCTCTATTATAAACATTCATCTAAATATTCTTTTTAAATGTCAGCTTAAACTTCCTATTTTTAATTTGCAAATAAATATATCTCTTGTAACTCTAAATTATTTTTAAGTTTTTTGTTTTACTTTAATTTTATACTGTTTATTCATAAAGTTAATCAACAATTATCATCATGAATTGTAATTATTAAATTTCTATAAAGTATTATTAAAATTTGTAAAAAAAGTCGAAAACAAATTATATGAAACATTGTAGCAAAAAGAAAAAAAAGCTATACGGAAGTGCGCGCAAAAATAGATCGAAAAGGGAAGCGAATTTCCTTTACAGAGAATATTGGATTAAGGGTACGTAACAAAAAAAGAAAAGAAAAAAAGCGAGGAATAATGTAACGAAGGGTGGCCCTCGCCGTCAGCCCTCTCCGTTCTCATAGGACTTCGTTGTAAAACCTGCAATCAAGTCCCTCCCCCCCCCGCGAGTTTATACGACAAAAACTACGCGAGCATCGATTCTAAATATACATTGCATTTTCTGCGTATTTCGCTGACGCGGCCTTTCATCGAGAGACCCAGCCCTTTCAATAATTCGCGCGGCGTTTACCGCAAAGTTTCTCACGGGGATGAAAGGGGTGATGCTAGATCGACTCGATAGTTCTTTATCTCACGGTCGGATTAAATATGAAAATCGCTGAGCGCGCTTCTCAAAGTCGCGAGCATAAGCGCCGGTTAAATAATTGATTCGCGACGCGCAATCGCGGTAAGCACAATTCCTCTCATTCGGTTGCTTCTCCTCGACAAGTCAAGATCTAGCCGTTGGCTATAGACAGGTGTCTATAGACTGTCTATAGACACTTGTATCTCTAGACAGTCCGAGTCGAAACGGCAGTCAAAACCATCGAGATTCTTGCGATTCTTGAGATATACGGATGTATCGCACGCGATTGTCCTTATTTCGGGCTGTCCGAAAAGTGCTAGGTAAGAGAAGGTGCTAACCGGTTTCGTGTCACACGTGTCAGCAAAAATGGCAAAGCAAAAAAATCAATGGCAAACGGCGTGACTTGCACGTTGCGTGTCTTCAAAATGTAAAGCCGCTTTGCAATAAATTTTCTGTTATTTTCAATGAGAGCAATAACGGCTTCTGATCTCTTGTGTTGGATGAACACGGGCTATAGTTTCTTTGAATCCGAAAAAGAAGTGATTAACAAAAGTTTCAAACTCTCGATGATGTTGATCTTTTATTTTCTTCACTTTATTGTCGCTCCCCTTCGTGTTAATCGTTATTTTCCAAGTGTGTTCGGGGCTTATGTACTCTCTATAGTCGAGCAATCGAGTTCAGGTAAAGTGAAACGCACGAGTTGATGGCACGACAATTATTCTGATTGAATTGTGGGAGCGATAGATTTGATGTTTCGGAAAAGTTGAAAGAAGTTTGATGCTATAGGTTCAAAAGCGAACACGTTTTGCTAAGTTAAATGCTAAACGAGTAATTTGTAAAACAATCTGTTGACAGAGCACTTTGCAAATTTTTTTGCATTACTTCCAGGTGGTATAAATTCTTTATTTATTACTTTCTCAAATCAATATCTCTATTGCTTTTTTCCTGGTTTCTTACATATATTTATTTTATAAGATAATATAACTGTCATTCATTTACTACTTATTTATGTACTCACTTATTTATTGTTACATTTCCACAGAAAACAGACCTGATTAATACCTTGAAATGACTTGCGACGAATCGATAATATAACCACGACTAACAGTTTTATCACAAGACATTTTCTTCGGTTACAGAACTTTTTTCTACCTAAACACAAATCAACTTTTCTACCTTTAGTTCGTCTTCGTCCAGTAATTAAAAAAACGGATAGAGTCTCATACTCTTCATCCTAGCATTTACTTTTTTTTGTAATTAGCAATAGTCTACACGAAGCACGAAAAAGAGTTTAATAGAACTTGATGCTTTAAACTGTCTAGAAAGATACGCAGTTTGTATAGGCAAACTGTAAAATTCTTCTACCTAATTTTTTGCGCTACGTAGTGTAAATCACGATAATATTCAGAAGCAATCAATTGTAATGTCATCTATGTTCACAAATCGTCGACGATTATTTCTAAACATGACAAAATTTATTAAATTGAAAAATTATGATATTCATGTATATGTATTCATTGTACAAGTAAAATGCAATATAAATTTATAAAAAAATCAATGAACAATATTAAATATTTTTTGTATATAATATTTTTTGAAAATAAATTTAACTTTTTCTTTATGTTAGAAAAATGCAGAGAAAAATGCATATACAAATTTTTAAAAAATAATTGATAAATTTTTGTTTCAGAATAGATAAGGCGCGTGCCACATTATGTATATGTATGTATAATGTTCAAAACGTAGAATAAAAATTATGATATTGCTTATAAACGCTTTTTCCGTAAGAAGCAGTCTTATTTAACACTTTTCTTATCATTATAGAAATTCAGTACGTCAGTACACAGACGCCTTATCGTAGATAGACTTCTGCTACTGATATATCGAACGAATAATCTCTGTATCGATCGATGATCAGTATCACAATGATTGTCCCTTCAAACGTAATATATAATACGATTCTCGCAGTAGTTTGATAAAGTTAAGAATTACTGTTAAAATGTGAGATAATGCATGCTCAAAATAAAACATTTATTAATTAATTTATTTATTATACTGGATTATAAATGCTTTATGAAATAATTAATAAATCAGCTGCCAATATGCGGTATGATGTATCTATGTAATTGCTCTATTGCGCTCGCTAATAAGCCACTAAAAAATGAACAAACAATCGACTTTACCGTGCTCTACATCTGCAGTGAGATCGACATAATAACGTTAATAAAAAGGAGAAGCGAATATGGTATAGCGGAATTTTTTTATATCATGTGCGATTATATGCGAAAGAAATAGTGAGCCAAAAATAGAATGTAAGTGGCTGGATTAACTTCCCAACTAATAATATATAATAGGGTACGAATTTAACATTATCGGTATTTTTAATTTTTACAATATTCATAATTCTTTTGAAATATAATAGATTAAATAAATTATAGAGTAAATTAATTTTTTTTCCATATATTGTACGAAATATTTTACATATGTTTAACGTGCAACAAAAATATATATATTTTCGATAAAGACAGTTAAAACTATAGTAATCTAAACCACTGATTGAACAATTCAAAATCGATCTTTATCAGTTTGAAGTGTGTAATCATGTATGTGTGTGATATTATCACATCAATTTTGTTGTTTGATTATCGTCACATGTTTTTAATTTATGTAGGTTATAACAAAATACGATTTTATCAATCTATTAATTTACTACAAATGAAAGATCAAGTTAAAATCCGATTTCATGAAAATGATAGAAATGTGGAGAAATGTCCACGCGCGCGTCATCGAGCGAAAATTTACAAACAACTTGAATCTACATATCTGGATAAAGAGAAACCAGTATGTATCTAATACACTAATACATTAATGCATTAATATTAAATCTAATTACAATAGATTCGATTAAATAAAAGCATTCATGGCAAACATGCACACAAATTATGGCAAAATAGCCGATCATTTCCTTCACAGCTATCCATTTTCTATACATCATATTATTATACATATTACTCAACTTCGCAAATTATTTTATGTTACAGAAAGGGCCTCAAGATCTCAGTAATTATTTATTGACAACCACCGTTCCCAGTATCGTAAAAGTAAGTATATCTCGATATTTTATTTCTGTGATAAAATTGTATTAAGAGAATCGATTTTATAAAATCTTTTTCGTTAATATGCAAATTATATTTTTTTCTTCAATCTTTTTTTAAATTGTATGATTTTTATATTGTGCAGATACTATTAGTCTTTAGCAAAGATGATCAACAAATGGATATACTCGCTACTGCTGCAAGAAAATTAGGATGGAGCGTGTCAATAGCGAAAGATGCGGACAAAGCGATAGAACTTTTTCAAAATCGTGCTCACGAATTAGTAATTATTGATCATAGAGGACATCACGCAGCTGAAGGCGATGTTATTTGTAGGTATGGTGAATTGTTTTATCATAATATAATAGAAATATGTATGCAAAAAATATATACAAAAAGAAATTATACAAAAATAGGAATAAAACTTTAAAAACTTTGAATAAAATTTAAATTTGTATGTAAAGAAGAAGCTATAATGTATCGAATTGTCCAAATAATATTTAAATAGATATTTAACACATTGTATTATTTGCATATAAAATAATTTATTTTATTGAAAAGAATTTTATTATTTTTCACAACAATAGATTATTTAGATATTTCGTAAATATATTTCAGAGCAATCAGATCAAGTCCGATTTATCACAATTCTATCATAATAGCACTCGTGAAAAAATCGTAAGTTTTGCAACAATCTTTTACTTAGATTATTTTATTTGATTTGATCTCTTTTATTTAATCTTGTTTCTTATAGATACTTAATCATGTTTCTCTTATAGATATTTCATGCTCGATGAGAAAGACCATATTGTGGCACTAAACTTGTTAGAAACAGGCTTTAGTAGAGTAAGCATTTAAATAAATACAAGTTGTAGAAAAATACAGTAAAAAATTTTTAGACACATACATTTTTCGATATTTTAAATTTATTTTTATATTTATATATTTTAGGCACTAATGGAATGTTCACATGAAGGTATATTAATAAACGAATTAGTAGGAATATATACTAGCTCATTATTACCGAGAACACAACTCTCAGCAGCACATGCATTGTATTTGGCACTTGATAGATGTCGGGATATGGTGCATGTGACTAATGATAAAAACATTATACAGGTATCATGAGTAATAAATTGAAATTTGTAACGTTCTATAATTTATCAATATATATATTTTTTTTCTTTAATCCACAATATGCTTTCAAAATATATTTTAAAATAAGATATATTAAATATATTTTAAAAAATTATATATTATAATATTACATATATTATTTGTACGAAACTCGAATTTTATTAAATACAAATATATATACATAGATTATAATTTCACATTATTTTTAGTTTCTAAATAAAATCAGCGAAAAATTATTAGGATATAAAACAGAGGAAATGATGGGGAGAAATCTCTCGGAAATAATCTATTACGAAAATTTTCCTCTGATGGAGCAGCAATTGAGCAAAGGCCGGGAATTCGAAGGAAATATGAATTGCAGAAGGAAAAACAATCAAATGATTACGATTAGTTGCAGGATAATTCCATTTTGTACTACGTTAAAGTACGTTATTGTATTAATTCAAATTATCTTTTTCGCTAATAAAATACTATTGTTTAGTATTAATTTAGCATTAATTTTGATAAAATGTTTCATACATCTAAATTTATAACTTTTAATTTATAAATCTTTTTTCAATTTTTACTAATATATAAAAGATTTATTATATAAAATATTATCATTAAAGTCTCCTCTGTTTACTATTTTACACATATCAGTGATTCTATTATTTATTTCAATTATAATTTATTATAATTTCAATTTTAATTTATCAATATTATTTATATCAATTATTATATCTATCTATAGAAAACCGACTCATTATATATACGTATATGATACTACGTATCTGTCGGACAACTCAGCATCGATAAGCCCTGTTGGTAGCCCATCGCATCCTTCGTTCAGACCAAGCGTATTGTATACAAATACGCGGAAACCTTCGGAAAAATCTGGTGAAGGTAAAAAATACTTGTGCAAATTATTAAATAATGTCACGCATATTAATCAACTGTATCAACAACAAGAATCAATCATTTAATTACGGACTGTTACATTTAGTTTATGAATACAGATTATTATCTTAATTTATTAATATAATGTTGTAATATTGTAATATAATATTGTTTAATATAAGGACAATTAATACTTAGAGATGCAAATTAGGTCATTAGCAATTTTATAATTCATTTTATAGAATTTTTATGTTAGAAAGTTATTTTGCGTCTGATGTTAATTTCATATCATTGTCGTAAAAGTGTTAAGAAATTTAAAAATTATCTATTATAGATTTCAGATAATAGATAAAGGAAGTTTATGTTTATCGTTTTAACGTTAATCTGTATCATTGATTTATTGGACCGTCAAATATTTTATTAATATATTATATAATTATCTTGATGTTTCTACAAAATATATTTTAATTCATATAATCATAATCATTCTTAAAAACAATTCAGATATTATATCATGTGAGAATTTTTTATAATTTTGTATTAATTGATTTTTTAATATAAAAGATTGTTTTGTTATAGGCCGCAGACGATCTAGCTTGCAAAAATTACATAGCTTGCAACTAGAAGCTCCTATCACTAAAGTCATTACGCTACTTTCAAATGCAGTCACTGATACTAATCCGGAAACAGCGGCACAGATTGATAAAGTGTGTAATTAATTAGTGATCATATGTCATGCAAATTACGTTAATCCAATTAAATGTATGTTGCACACTGTTATAAGCCATCTGCGTTTCAGGCAATCAATATCTTAAAGACGACGGAACTTTACGTGCCACATCTTAAGGAAGATAAAGGGATATACAGTGATCCAGTTGCGTCGGATCTCGTTGGCGCGTTACTTGCTGTAAGAATTTTACTGCTTTTCATTTCGTATAGTAAATGTTGTAATAAATGTAAATTGCACATTTTTGCATGCAAGATTTTTTCTCTAACTTTTTCCGATTTGTCGATGTTGATTGTTTAATTAACAGCCGCGCACAGCATGGGAATCTAGAAGGTCGTCATCAGATTCCGCGAGATTATCCACTATCAAAGCTATCACGAGTCCGGTTAATTCGCGTGTACAGATGAAGAATTTCCGGGGGCCGCAAGAAATTGCAGAGATACTTGATAATAGTCTCGACTGGGGCTTTGAGATATTTAAGCTTGAAGTACTGACGGAGAAGAGGTGAACAATTTTGTATTTTTTTCACAATATATTGTAAGTTTTATAATTGTTAATTTGCATCAAAAATCATTATTTTTGATGAGACATGTGTTCTAACAATGAGATATATTTCAATCTCTTTAAAAATATTTCATTTTAACGTTTCACTATTATAGTATTTGTTTAATAAACCATTTCAAAACTTTAATGTTTTTTTTGTACATGTATTATGTATACTACTTAAAAATTGATTGTGCTATAATTCTTTAAATTTACAGGCCGCTCGTTTTTTTGGGATTGACAATTATGAATTTGTATCAAGTGCCCGCGAAATTAAATTGCGACGAGAGAACTCTGCAAAATTGGCTAGCCATCATTGAACATAACTATAATGCGGACAATAGCTATCATAATTCAACGCATGCGGCTGACGTTTTGCAAGCGACTGCGAGATTCATGCAATCGAAGAGACTCAAGGAAGTTTTGGAGCCTTTAGATGAAGTTGCTGCCTTAGTCGCCGCAGCTGCACACGATATTGATCATCCTGGACGGTCCAGGTAATTCACTTTCTAATAGCGAGAGATAAAACTATGTTAATATAAAAATTAGAGTTTCCAATAATATAATTAAATATTTATTATATTCCATTTGTTTTTATTTTTATTTTATATATAATATATTTTAAAGTTATTTAAAATTTTTTTCAGCTATATTTTCTTAAATTTTGTATGAAAGTTCCTTAACGGAAATTTAATTAACGTCTATTATTTGTCAAAAACTTTCAATCTTGATATTAAATATATTGATCGGATCTTGAATTAAAATTTATTTTCAGTCAATTTCTTTGCAACGCCAATAATCGATTGGCAATACTCTACAATGATCTGTCAGTTCTCGAATCACATCATGCAGCCTTAACATTTAAACTGTCATTATCCGACGATAGTGTAAATATCTTTAAGGCAAGTTTCTTAATGTCTATTATATCGTAAATTTGAAAGCAAGCATATGTGTAAAATAATCTGAAGATGTAATACTGAATTAAATGTCCGCTTTAGAATCTGGAGCAAGACGTATACAAACTGTTGCGACAAAATGTCATTGACATGATTCTGGCGACCGAAATGACAAAGCATTTCGAACATCTGGCGAAGTTCATGAATGTCTGCAGCGCGAGAATCGGTGACGGACAAGAGGTATATATTTTTGTGTTAAAATTATCCAATATTTCCATTTTATATATGTGTATATTATTATTATACATTACCACAAATTTCTATGAAATTGAAATTTATTGTATAAATAACATTACTACGCTTCTTCTATTTTCTACTACCTTTTTAAATAATGTTAAATTATGTAGATAATTCAAAATATGCAAAAGAGAAAACAATATCTAATTAATTACAACTTGGCATTAAATTAAAAAAAAAATCTTTTACAGAGTTATTCAGATTGTCTAGATATGTCTGTAATATTGCAACCAGACAACGTAATATTGGTTAAAAGAATGATGATCAAATGCGCAGACGTATCAAATCCAACGCGGCCATTAAAGTGTTGCGTCGAATGGGCGAGACGAATCGCCGAAGAATATTTTAGTCAGGTACACTAATAATTAAAAAGGATAGAGTTTAAGAAGATAATTTACTATTTGCATGCACATTTTTTTTATAATAAATTATAAAGAAAAATAATTTCAGACTGATGAAGAGAAAAGATTAAAGATGCCAGTCGTAATGCCGATGTTCGATAGATTAACGTGCTCAATACCAAAATCGCAAATCGGTTTCGTCGATTATATCATTAACGATATGATCGAAGCTTGGGATGGTTTGTTTTTTCTCATTATTTTTACAGATTTCATTAAAAAAGATATGATGTTTATTTTTCTATTTACTTTACAGTGTTTATTGACATGCCAGAGATGGTGGGTTACATGCGACACAACTACGAGAAGTGGAAAGAGTATAATGTGAGACATCAACTTTCAATTTAATCTCTATTTTAAATACTTTGAAATAATTAAGTGAATATTATTTTAAAATTTTATAATAATAGTGTTCTTAATTTTTTATTGTAATATTACATTTCATAATTTGAAGAAGTCAAAGAAGATAAATGTCTAATTATATTTTAATATTTTAATATCGTATACTTTTAATTTCGCTTGGTTTAATTTTATATTCATTCACTAATGTAATTTTAAACTGTATGTTTCACAGGAACAGGGTATATCTACTTTGCAGGATGTGGAAAAGCTACAACAACATCCCGATATGCAAATACTGTGATCATCTTAATGGAAAGCACATCGTTTTGTTTTGCATTTCATTATATTTATGCTACGATTATCGCAAAAAACATATGTATAGCATTTACATATTTAAAGATAGAACAGTGACGTCATATACGTTATACGCTTTCAAATAATTTCTACGAAAACATGTGTAATTCCGTATTTCTCAGACGTGTCTCTCACCTTAACATTTTCCTTATTTATATATAACTCCATTTTCTTCAATGACACTTGCGCTATTTTAAACATACATGAAGCACATTAGTAAGATATGTATAGTATAAGAAAAGAAATACCTTTGCATATAGCTTCCGCGACTGTGTTACGTCGAATAAGATCTTTGTTGCGTTTGATGCATGCTGGTCATTACATTGTACATCTAGGAGCAGCTAGCAAATAAATAAGAATTTTCAATGATATTGCATCTTTGCGATCTTTTCAATCAAAACCTAATATTTCCTCTAATTTTATCTGTGTTAAGCTTCGACAATAACTACTTAGAAGGACTGGTATAATTTAAATTAAAAAGAAGATTCACACACTAATGTATGTCGGATTCCACTTTATTGTTTCTCTCTTAGCCAAAAAATCGGACCTATTTCTATACGCTGCATAAATACAGAATTAAATAAAATCAGATATAAAGTAAATATAAGCCGTACCAAGATGGAATTTCGCGCAATTTCATTATCAATGGATCATATATATGATTTTGGTTATTTCGGGAAAATTACAAATTTTTCATTTTATATTGTTAATACAAAAAATACGCATTCGCTCTCTCAATCTAAGACTGCTCTGACATAACATTTTTGCTAAAAATAATAATTTTGTTTAATGCTGTTACAAACCGAGGAAAATCGGTATAATAACATCAATAGTCCATCGAGTTACAAGCATTGGCCTAACGGATGATTACTATATCGCATTCATCATAAAGATTCTTATGTATGCTGATATATTGTACATACACATACGCTTTACATCATAATATACTCCCTACGGGACACGCACGAATAATCATGGCCGTTTTATCCAGTATCAATATTTAGTTTTTATCCCTAGACGAAGAGACAATCAAAGTATCGAGTCATTTTTTGGAGTTTTTATCTGACATATGACACATAAGAAACATTTTACAATGTCTCAGGAATAAAGATAGAGAGAATCTCTTAAGATATAAGATTCCTGTCCGGAATTATCGATTAATTATTATTGTTCGTTGGATCGTGTGTATCGAGTGACTATCGCGCGGTAAATAGTACCGAACGGTATAAGTAGATAAAGTAATAACTTAATTACGTGTGCTTATCATTACTATTATAATGCCACATAATATGATTCGTCCGAAGAGCTAAAAATTACCCTTAAAATTAGATTACTCGCGTTTCCTCCCGATACACTTGCCACAAGTGCTTCGTCAAATTTATATGAATTTGCGCTTCGTCTTTAGACGTCTCTCACTTGAATAAAAATAATTTTCTGAAAAAAATCAAAATTTACCATCGATAACTATCTGTTTTGAAGTCGAAAATTCTTTCGTTTTTGATCAGTGAGATATTTCGATAATGATGATCCAGCTGGGATATATCGTCGAGATATTTTTGATTGCGTGACTTATAAATGCGAATGCATATTTTTAGACGAAACGTGGATCAGGAGCTATGTTCACATTCAAGATTGTTTCATTAGCACTTGCCGCTAGTAGATGGAATTCGCGGAGTAACGAAGTAGTTTAGTATGCAACATCATTATACCTAAGTATATTACTCTTAGCATTAATAGTACATACACGTAAGTGTTACATTTTCTTTTTTTTTTGGCGACGTGCACGTCATTTTTATAATTGTTTTATAGTTGACTTTACGCCTTTCCCCTATAGAGGAAAGTTTATCAATCAAGCTTACATAATCTGCATAGCAATCCGCTTAAATCGCCGTCTCTATTGATTGTGGTTCATTGTTCATTATTCGGAATTATGTCGCGAAGCGATGCGCGCAAAACTCATCTACCTCTCGTGCGGACGAAATGTGCTCGCGCAATTATCGATCAAAATGAATTAAATCTGAAGAATCCAAAGGTGCTGACGGCTCGACGAGATCTACATGAGAATCTACGTCGCTAATTGTCGCGCAAAGCTAACACCGGCGTTTACCATACTTTCCTCATGCATATAGATATATCTAAGTATATTAAACGAGAAAGAAGCAAATCGAAGGAAGTATCTTAAGAAAAAAATGCGTATAATCCAATATCCTAAAATAACACGCTTGGGGACGTAGTCTACATTTAAAGAATGTGCTTTTAGCACTCTCCATGATTTCCAAACTTCTGGTAACTCTCGATCTAAATTTGCTCAGGAGGTCAAAATGTTTCTTATCTATGCTCGGATCAGTGTTTTATTCACGATAATCGAAAAAATATCTCCAGCATTTCTGGTATTTCCAGTATTTTGTAAGTAAGCCAACCTTTAATCTTTAAGCTAATCGCCAAGACTGATCGAAAATTTCTATTTTGACTGATTTTTTTATTCCTCACGATTGCTCAGCAAAATACAATCAGAGTGAAAAACTTCGGGAAACGATTTATTAATGTCCCGTTTGGTGATGCAACATCAGGTCTCTTCAATTTGCTACATTACAGATGAAGCAACATCTCATCTCGACGACAAGATTATGCATTCTAATTCTTCTTTTTTCCGAACTGTTTTTAAAACACGGCTGTCTAAAATTGATACCGTTCACTATTACGCCATCCCGCAATCGCAATAATTCAGAAGAGGTAGCAAATTCGATGTTACGGAAATGGAAAGGTTCAACAACATAACGACGACGTGTGCTTAGACAGGCATATATAATGTCGCTGTCATAGGCAAATTGCATCAAGTCTATTTTTTTGTAAATCGTCGGTTCATATCGTCAGGCCTTTCAGTTTGGATGATGAGACGCAATGTCTCGTAGCGATCGCGAGATGATGAGAATCGATGCAGGATTGTGGTAAAGATCGAAATACGTAATCACGTCACGAAGAATGTACAAAGTGACTCGAGTTAATCATGAACTAACCGCAAGTATGACCGAGTCGGTTTTGATAGCCAAAATTCTGTAGCGCTCGTAGGAAGTATTCTCGGATGTATTTTTGGAGAAGATAGTCAGTGAACGTCACGTGACATTGTAGGAGCACGCCTCCGCATCGGCGGCGGCGGCGTCGAGACGCCGACTGACGTCGGTTATTTAAGATAGATCCGCGATTTGCATCGAATCAGAAAGAAGACGACTCCGGAATTGCCTGGTGACCTTCGAGTTGACCGATCGCCTCTTCACGTTCCACGTAAAGTACGATAGTAGTGTTCTCGTTATGGTTTTTTTTTCCTCTCTTCGAGTGTGTATGTCACTGGAAATCTCCCTCGGTTATCTCACCGTGTCCTTACTAGCCCACTAATAGCTTTCATAAGAGTCTAACCGCTTAGCGTATAACTTACGGTATAATCTTATTGTTAGAATTACTTAAGAGTAACGTTATTCGTCTACGTCTCCATTTTTTTATTTCGTCTTTTAGATCAGGATGTGAGCTTATTGGTACGTTTTGTGCGAAATAATCTTAAGCTAACGGTCCTTATGTCCTCGCCTGTGAAAATCTCCCCCATCGAACTACCACCGCGAACGGACGTCAAGGATACGTATCCTTAGTCGAAGGAGAAAGAAAAAGTGATCGTGAAAAATATTAGCGCGAGTCACATGATCTTTAATCCTCAATTTTATTGTGTTCGGTGGTTGTAAATCGCGTGTTTAGATGCGTGTGATGCATAGCAACGTTTGGGGGCGTGCGACTTTAAACTAGTACCTGCGCTGTCTGATTAATCGTCGTCGTTGTTCCATCATCATAGTTGGTCGATACTTAAATCCCGATATCTATTGTTTCGAGATTTCGCTTAAAACTCTCTATACATAATCTTACGCGAACGGACTAGCTTTGCTGTTTCGAGCTCTCGCTGGCTTATGACTATAGTCTAAACTTTATTGAATTTTTTGTATTTTTCGTGTCTCCGTCGTGAATAGAGAAACCGGTTTCTATACGATCTATCAGCAATCTCCCTTCAGTTTATTAGATGTTGCCTTTAATTCTGTCGATTCTATTACCATACGCGAGAGAAGTCGTATTCCGAGGTATTAAGTATCATCTGCAAGTGCTGTATTGCGTTACAAGATGCGTTGAAGGATTCGTTTGTAGATTTCTATTGCCCGCGAAAGGCAAGAATTTAAATGAGAATGGAGAACTTCCCGTACGTGTAACGTTTAACGAAGGGAGAGTGTCGTTTAATGTCGATTTTTGCGTAGCACGTGGCTCACGTAACGCGTTCTTACATTCCCCTAAAACTATCACTTAACCAACGAGTAGTCTAGAGTTAATTAATAACGATGTATGCGGTCGAGAAAACGAGACTCTCTTATTGTGATCTTTAGTCATAAATGCGTAGGATATTTCGCAAACGATTTATATTCATCCATTCCGGAATGGATGACGCGGATTTCGATAAGTCTTTTATAATTCGAGGTGTACTTCGGCCGTCGTGTAGGATTGTGTAATTAGCTTCTTTTACGCTAAGATCGTGTGCCTGTCTATATGATCGTACATTAATAGTGTTCCAAGTAAGTCCGAGAGATTAATTACACTTAACGATAGTCCTAGAAACACCATCCGATGAATTATACACGAGAGCTAATGATTTATCGCCTTTGTGCAATCTAGCTTAATACTTAACATCTATACGTAGAATTAACGTATATGTATAATTGTATATATATGTTGTAGTTGTGACTCAATTGCCAAACTGTTACTTCATTCACGCCTACTTCTCGCCCATGACGCTTATATCTTATTTTGTCATATCTCCATAAAAATCTGTGTATTTCTTTTTACTTTTACGTTCGAGAAGAGCACCGACCGGTCATTATTGATTGTTTGATTGATTCGCAGATGTCGATTGTGCCGTTGGTCTTTCGCGATTGGTGGGACGACATCGATCGTCCTATCTCACGGCTCGCGGATCAACACTTCGGCACCGGCCTTCATCGAGATGACCTGATCTCGAATTTTACCTCTGGTCTGGGTTTCAATCGAGCCCCTTTACGCTCTATTTTCGGGAACACGTACTACCGACCGTGGAAGAACGTGACGCGTCACAACTCGAGCGGATCTAGCACGATCCAGCTAGACAACGATAATTTCCAGGTTGGTATTTAGGACGATTTCGCGCACAGAAGTGAAATGGAATGTCGCGTGATGCGATCAGATCGAAAGTAAAGTTGCATATTGCTTTTCGTGAATTTCTACGAAGAAAATAGAATTTTTGATCTGCAACTTTTTTCTGTCTTCAATGAATCAGTGAAATCAAATTTGTCTAATAATAAAGTATCTATTTTTAATTTTATTTATTGAAATTTCAATTAATTTTATTAATAATATTTTAGTGGAATTTCACTCGACGAAGATATGTCCGAACATAAAATTATTAATCTCGATATCATATAATCACATGTTTATTTCTTTCGTTTTAATAATAGTTCTACTCAAAAAAATGTTGCCAAACAGATATTTTTGTATCACTTGATGTGTTTGAATTAGTGCTTTTTAATTAATTTTATATTTGTTATATATTACTGTTTGTTAATTATTATTAGAAATTTAGTCAGTTTATTACTTAGAAAAAGAAATTTTCATCAGAATCAACATGGAAACTTTTAAATTAATTTATTAAAAAATGTATCTCTCTTTTCACGATCTGTGCTCGTACATATTACGTGACGTTACTGTGTGCGAAACGATTTTTTGTTATTTACATCACCAAACGATTTTTTGCTTCATCTTTTACATTCGTGATAAAACACGAGAAATGATCTCAAATTAAAAGATTTACTTCAAGTAGTTTGTTGCTTTTGCTGGTACTCTAATTGCTATTAGCATTTGTCATTTTGATGTCCGTAATTGTTGTCTTAAAATGCGCATTTATATATAAGATGTTTAATCTAATTGCGCTTTAGTCTTGCGATCAGATGGGCTTGTTAAAGTCGAAATAACATCTTTTTGTTAAAATTAATGCAATTTGCAGAGGATGGCTCATGAATTTTATTCTGTATATGTCAGTTCAAGATGTTAATATTTGAGTTTGGGACCTTCTATTTAATCATTATAATCATTACGATAGTATTTTTCTCAGGAAAGTGTTAAAAGCTTACTTAAAAATACATTATAGGGCGGAAGTACTGCTGTAATGGTCCAATTCCGTCTTTCGCAAAATCCTGCAGAAGCTGGCAGGATTTTGCGAAAGAAAGGAATTGGCCAGAAAGTATTTAAAACAGTAAGAAGTTCAAATATTTAATATTTCTTTCTTACGTAATAACCGACTCAATAATAATAATCGATAACGTAAGTCGATGATAAAACAGTTATCTTTTAATTAATTTACAATTCGAATCTCACCGCTAATTTCTCTTCGAGAATATTGTTATTCTAAATTGCTTATAATTTTTGGAGCTGTTTTTTTTGCGTAGATATGAATTTTTACAATTTCTGGAAGCAATCTCCTGGGTATAATCTCAAAATGTGTCAGATGGAAAACTCTATTTTTTGTCACATGTGCGTCCGCTGGTTCGATATAGTTTCAGAGTGCGGCAAGAAAACGTAAGCAAGAAGCAACGCGCGTTAAAATTATCATGAAATGTCCCGAATGCGAGTGAGTCAGTATATTATTTTTAGATGTGTTTTAGAGCGTATTTTTATTCGTTATGAGTAAGAATATTTGCAGAATCGCCTACGGCTATCGCGTAAATTTCCGTAGTCCGGAAAGTTACGTGATAGCCGTTTGCGATTCTAACGCGATTGTTCAGAAATGCAATTTACGGATCAGAGAAAAAGTCACGAGAATCGCGATTCGGGATGATATGCACGCGATTAATATCTAGGATTAACACGCGCTGCGGATATACCGATTATCTTACGCTGCAGTTATTCTAAAACACACAGTAGATATAAGTCAAGAATCTCGAGAATCAATCGAATGCTCTGTTGTCGCGTTTGCGAGTATCGCGAGTAGATTAGATTGCGCCTGGATCAGTTCGCGAAAGGCAACTCTCTTTCTCAAATGGATTCCACGAGGATACGTTATGCCCCTTCGATCACTCGACGTCTTTAAATCTTCGATATCCTCGTAAGTTCAAACTGGATAAAACGTCCGCGAAGTCGCTACTTTTACGATCTAGATAGACCGCTTAACTCTATTCGCCTCTCAGATCTACTGTAACTTAGTAACTCGACAGTAATATCGATCGTTAATTTACAATTGTGCTCACAGAAATCGCCTAACTGGTTACGAATTCATGAATGGGCGCGAATATTACAAGTACGCTTTATTTATCGTGAAAGTGTCGTGATACGTCTAATTCATGAATTCGCAAAAGAGAGAGTTGTCGGTATGTTATTCATCTTATCTCGTGGAAGTTCGATGATACCAGCGAGCGAAATATAACCGGTTTATTGTTTATGCGACAACTTAATCACGGCCTGAAGCGACGATCACTTTCTTTTTTTTCTACAGTTTTGGTTTTATCTATGTCGAATACAAAATGTGTAACTCGCCTAAACTCATGAATTCGCACGTCGTCGGTTCATTAAATTACATTTATCGCGATTTGATTTTGGATATAATACCGGACAGTTCTAAATCCATGAATTCAAGATTACTCTGATCCAATCAAATTACATTTGCCTTCTGTCGAGGAAGTTCGATGATGCAACAGCGAGCGAAATGTAATTGGTTTACGCGTTTATAACTTAGGCTGAGACGACTTAAACTGACGATCTCTTTAGTGGTTCTTTTTGGTGTTTACAATTCGAGCGCGATTTGTATCGGACGCGAAACAAATTTCGTATCGAATACAAAGAGTCTCGAGAGTGATATTCTACAAAACAATTACGATATATTTAATAAGTGTATACTTTTCTTGTTACTCTTTTTATCGAAAAAACGTAATAGATTTCGTAGCAAATCGTAGTTAAATTTCGAAATCTAGAAAAGTCGCTGGAGACAAATGACAAGAGATGACGGGAGTGAATGGCAAAGGGGAATGATAAAGAGGCGCATTCGTAAGAGGGAGAATAAAAAAAAAGGAGAAGGGAAGTGGGATTAAGGGTTGGGGAGAGGAATTGGGGTTAACGGAAAAAAATCAAAACGTCGCGAACGAAGGTTCTATCTAACAAGGCTCGAATGTTATTTTCAAAGAGATCGACAAATCGGCCGCGCGGCCATTAAAATTAAAAAATAAACCCAAACACGAAGGAATCGAACGTAAGAGACGAAAGAAACTTAACGCCCGCTAGAAATGCTAAGGGAACGAACGAAAAATCCGGAACACCAGAAGGCCCAAAAAGCTCCGATGACTGCATCTGTTGCAGCTGCCGCTGTCTTTGTCAACGCACATTACACGTAATCATTCGATTATGCGTGCGACGCGAAATCAATCAAAACGGCAGCTCGGCTAATTTTTGACAGGATGGTGAGACGAGTGTTCGATCGGGACTATTTTCGCTCGAGGGTAGGATAAATGGATATTTTTCAGCACCTCCCTCTTGACGAGGGAGGGTATATGAATAAATCTCGGATCGGAGAGACGACTTTTCTGATATTTCTTTTTTTCACCGAGTGAACTGATTTTTATCTATTTTTTTTTCTTCTTTCTTCGAGAGACGCCGTTATTTATTCTCCTCGTTCACCGAAATGTTCTACGAAAGGTACGCGTATCAAAAGAGGATGATCGCGCTGCGCGATATCCGGTCAGTCCGCGCTAGCTTCAAAATCTTTATGAAATCACAGTTTTACCACCACAATTCTCGCGTTTCACTTTAACTTCTTTAAACTCTTTTAACGTGTTTCTATTTTATTTTATTTTATTTTTTTTTGTTATTTTCGCTCTTTCCGCGATATTTTTTCCTCGCGCATTCGCGCGCACGGTTTGCCTGCCGCAGCTCTGAAATGATTCTCTCTGTTCTCTCTACGTTCTTAATTCAAAGTCGCACGCGAGGAATCGCGCGCAGCAGCCACGGAATAAAATATGCAACCGAAAGAGTGGATTGTTATCGTTATATATTATCGTGTCGCGCTTTAATCAGTCTTGTTCAATGAAAGAACCGAGACTCGTGGCGTCGTCCCGACGAGCCGACGCGCCCCCCTCTTTCGAAGGGGGCGCCGCTCACGCGAACGAACCTCAGGCCTCGGTCCTTCTGGCTATATAATCTCTATACAAAAATAAATGCTTTTTTTTTTTGAATACCCTCAACAAGATAGAATCGTACAAAATTTGACTTTTTGTCCTTTTGGTTTTTTTCCTCTTACACGGAATCTTTTTAGCTTTTTTATTTCTTTATTTGTACAAAATATGTCGCTCTGCGCGCAGCACTCGAGTCGACTGTTTACGGATCGGTTAATCCGGTTAACTTCTTTCTCCTTCTCTTCTATTCTTTTTTTTTTGGTACTATTTTCGAAATGCACAGCCAATCATCCTCCACTAACTTACTTCGCGCTCGCGCTCACCGAGTTCCAGGATCACGCAGGATCACCCGGAGAAACTCGGCTCGCCTATTTTATTACCGTCGGTCGTTGAAGCTTCCTTGCTCTCTATGCCGGAGTGTTATCTAACTGAGCTATTATTTTTTAAAAATTTTTGTATGTTGCAATTTTTTTCATTCCCATCAAGGAGCGAACCGCCGGCCGCGAAAAGGATCGGCCACCGCGGTCGCGACCGATCGCTCCCGACACGACCGTGCGGTACTCACGATAAGTACAAATAACCACCTACTTGTATGTATGCTCGTTTTTTTGATCTCGAAAAAAAAAGGAACAATGTCACACAAGTAGGTGTACCTGACAACTACATCTTCCCGATTTACTTTTGTACCATTTAACGCGCTTTAACGCGCGGTGATCTAAAGAAACGCGGCGGGATTACATATGAAAAGGTCGTGGAAAATTGAAAAATTCAAAGTAGGAAGAGTCTACGACACGCTTATTTGACGGTCGAGACGGATCTAGAACGTTGGCCGAATTGTCATTTTTATTTCTCGTCGCAGAAACTCCAACAACCGGGCCTGACCGGCGGAATCGGCCCCGGCGACTCCCTAATCACGGAAGAACGAATGCAAATTAAACGAAGCGCTGCTCCAAATAGTTTGCCGGTACGATTGTGCGCAAAGTAGATCTGTTTTAATTACGATTTATAATGTTTTATATGTGTGTATTATATAAATGATTTATATGCGCGCTATGGACGCATGACGTTCGAGATCCTCTTCCGAAGAAGAATGTGATTCAAAGGAGAAACACAAAAAATAAGTGCTAATTTGTGAGACGAGAACAAAATCAAATTGGCCTTATCGCTCAAAATTCGAGCATAACTTTCGGAGTAAACCCGCTCAGAGGGGATGATACTTAACTTGCGCTCTATAGATGCATAGTCAGGACGATGATGTGCGCTTTGCTCTTAGAAGAATGCGAAATTTCTGTCCTTGATGACGCTCTTGGAAAGAGGATCCTGAATGAAGCTAATAATTCCCGGGGCCTCCTTACGGGGCCGCGCTCTCTCTGATCCGCAGGTGATATTGGACGTACAACAATTCTCACCGGACGAGATCACGGTGAAGACGGTCGACAACTACGTTATTGTCGAGGCCAAGCACGAGGAGAGGCAAGACGAGCACGGCTACATCAGCAGGCACTTCGTACGCAGATACGTCCTGCCACCTTCTCACGATCTCGTCAACGTCACCTCGACCCTCTCCTCGGATGGTGTACTAACTGTCACGGCGCCCAAAAAGGTACGCTTGACCGAGCCGAGACCCACATTAACATTCGCCCTGCTCTCTCATTCGCGGACTCGACCGCGAATAGAGAATCTCTTTCTCTCTTTCTCCCACTAGCCCCTTCGCTCGCTCTTTCTCCCTCTCTCGTCTTTGTTAGAGTTGATGTGGCTTACGTTACATGTTTGAATTTTTTGCTTTTTGATTCCAACGTTTCCAATGCTGTGCCTCAGTGTGCGGTATTAGAGAAGGCAGATGATGCCGACGGTTTTGGATCAAACTACGAGTCTGCTCTAAACTACAAAACAGAATATGTCTCGTTAACGTACGAAATTCAGCAGGCAACGTTTACGTGGACAAGGCACATTTTTTTTTAAATCAGTGTGCGTCGATTTTAAGGGAAATTATTTATTGAAATAAATTATATATTGAAATTTGACGAGACTGTATTAAAAAAAATGAACAAACTGTCGCAAAAAAAACGATAGCGATAGAGATTTAATTTCAAGCATATTTAAATATATAAAGAATCGTTTTTAATTATCCACATCAAAGTTTCAATTCTAAATTAATAATATATAATTAGTTATTAAACAGTGTTTTCATCTGGATACTTAAGTCTCTTACTTATTTTTATATTTAAAAGCAATTGCTTTTAAATATTAAAATTCAAACATCAAATTCTATTAAAATCGATGACACTTGTTATTCATCAAATGTTCAGAAATGACACAATAATTTTTTTTCTTTTATCATTTTTCTTATGCTTTAAAAGCTATTATTAAGTACCATCAAAATTGAGATTTAATTTCAAGCATATTTAAATATATATATAGAATCGTTTTTAATTATCCACATCAAAGTTTCAATTTTAAATTAATAATATGTATAATTAGTTATTTAAAAATTTTAATAATATATAAATATTTAAAATTAACAATATATAATTATAATCTTTTGCAATGCTTCTAATATATAAAAAGCAGTAGCTTTACATTATCGTAGATCTTTTTTTCTGTACTATCGATGTGTAAGAATAGTCGTGCTTATTATACTGCGGCTTGTTATACTACTGGCTCGCATTGATTTTAACCATCGTATTTTTAACCTTTCTAGTTCATTGTCCATAAGCATAATTCTATTATAACTTAATGCATGATATATATATATATATATATATATATATATATATATATTATTGTATCTAGATTTTATGTGCACTCACCTATATCTCGAAGTTCTCTTTTCATATTTGTTCAAAGTGTGAAGGTTTCGAACTCTAATTCACGCCTGTCTTCGCGTACGGATTGTTCAAGCACCGACCCCGTAGGGTGCACTAAAAAACACAAACATATAGCTATTATAATTCGCATATTTTAATTTCTAATGATATTTTCCTCGCGTCTTTTTCAGAACGTAACGCCAGCTGGTACGGAAAGAGTTATCAATGTTATTCAAACGGGAATACCAGCTGCCAAACCGGTTCCCGTCGAAACAACTACAACCACCACTACTACAAACTAAAAATATATTGTCTGAAACTTTCTCCTTCATTCCGGTTGATTTTATTCTTTTATTTTCTCGATTTTATCATTAATGTAATAAAATAATTTTATAAAATAATATAATTGCGCCATAACACAACAATATGTTTTTTAATACATTACAGAAGTATAATTTCTTAGCATGTTATAAAATAATATTTTGTTATATTATATGAAATGTATAATTGTGCAATGTTATTTTATTATAATATCTAATAAATCTCTCTATTAATATGTTTATCAATTTCAATTGATTTGTTCTCGAATATAATTAATTCTCTTGTTTATTTCTTCCCAAACATGTATAATTTAAGAATATAAATTGCATAGACTTCTAAGAAATAAACAGTTAAACTTAATTTATTATTGATATTATTGAAAACATATTTAATAATATAACAATTACATTAAATATATAATTATATTAAATATATAAATAGTATTAAAAGATTGTTAATTAAAAAGTGAAAATATCGACATATTAAATTCAAAATATCAACATATTGAATGTCATAAACGCTCATCTTCTTTCATGTATTTTTCTATTACTTCTCTATTCTTTCTCAATGCTTTAAACTCAATGCTCTAAAATACAAATAAATCATCCTTAATAATTCTCATTTAAATTGCCATCGCAAGATGGCCAAGGCCAAGCATAACGTCAACCATCTCTGTCACTGGGTCACAATAGAAGCGTCTATCTACTTCGGCTAGATTAATAGGTAAAAATAAGCCTTATGCGTAAATAGAATAAAAATAGAAAACCCAATCAGGGGATACCTACGGTAAACTGTCGCGCTCCGCACCTGGTGCCCGCTCGCCTACATTTTCCCGTGCCGGCGGTCTCGATGAAATAAGAAGCCCAAGTGTGTTACACTGATGGTGAAGGGTGAGGGGGTCTTCGGGTGTTCGCTGCTCCGAACTGAACCAGGGTTTGTTTACGAATGCGCCGAGTCGGGCCGGCCGGTTGCCTTATATAGTCGCGCGCGCGCCTCGCCGCGTCGCGTCGCAACGTCGTGGAAGCTTCGAGAGCCTGCTCGGTCACCGCCATACATAATGCGCAATTGCATTCGATGGCTCGTTTCGGACCCAGGACGGGCCCGAGGCCGTTCGCGGTCGCGATAATTGTCACCGCCGCGACGAGATCTGTCAATCGGTATGCATGGCGAGGCATTTTTTTCACTTCATGGCTGGGAAATTAACGAATACCGAGTATTGATCGGCCCGGCCAAAGAGAGGCGACGGAGTTTCTGGCACGTTCGTTCCAACCGGGACCCCACCACGCCGACCATCCAACCCATAGAGAGCGAACGACGTACCGTACCCCGCCACCCCCGCGCGCCGCCATTAGCACGGTCAACCGGTATATGATATAACACCGTCTGTGTATCTTAGCGTAACCTTCCCGCTAGTCGATGCCTGTGTGTATCTCGTTTATTTTATACCTCGAAGAAGGAATCTGCGTATGCGAGGATCGGGTAAAAAAAGAAAAAGATTATCTTTGGAGTCTCTCTTATTGCGTAGCGAAATTTACTGCGCAGCGATTCCCTTCGGGTAGATGAGATCTTCAAGGACAACCTTGACTCGCCCTACTTCTGCTTTTATTCATTATACGTTTCGAAGTAGTCACGTCCGCGCTTAGGATGACTGATTTGCGTTGATTAGGAGATAGGTTTCTAGGCGTGTGTGATGTAGTTTGCATTTCACGTGTGTAACGCGCGATAATGAAAATGCTGTGTTATCGTTAGAAACAAGGTCGTTTTCATTAGTAAACAGATTAGACGAGTTGTTTTCGTCGATATTTTATGTGGCGATGCCAAAGATGAAGGGAAGGGGCCATCGTGATATAATATTGCGCCACATCGCATGCGTGCTCCAACGTCGAAACGTTGAAACGCAATTTCGCGTCGGAAACGTTCGCGGTGGGATTTCCGTACTGCGCAGGCAGCCCGAACGACCTTCCAGTCGTTCCAGCGTGGTTTTTTTATCAGCTCTTGAAACGAATGACAGCTATTTTTACGAGATTTTGAGGCGCGGTCGAGGCCTGGCCGACCACGCGACGTATTTTGCAAACGCGCGAGAGAAGCAAGTTGACTCACGCGTCATACAAAAAGCGAGCGATAGCGCACGAGAACAGGCAATTTTTATGTAAATCGCCGGCGACAATTGAAGACATCAAAGATTACGTAATATCGTTGAAACGTGGAGATAACGAAATAATTTTCGCTCGCGAAGATGAGGAGAATCACGCGGAAAAAAAATTAATCTTCATACTCATTGAAGATCGGAACGTCCTCAATGTTGCGAGCGTCGAGCTACAGCATAATAGCGACGATACAACCGGGTTGCATAATATTACGTTCGTTCCTCTTTCGGCGTATCATGTACCGGCTCTATCGATTTCCTTTTCGTATCGCTCGTTAGGACGGCCAACACGAATATATCCTAGCTAGAAAGGCAGCATCTCTTTAAGCAGAACGCAATTAATGCAATTTTATTCAGGAGTATATAAGGGGCGCGCGCGCCAGATACTTATCTCTCCCTGCGAGATCGCCTTTTTGTAGGTCGCTAACAACGGTCGGCGGATTAGGCTCGACGAAGAAGGGTGAACGGAACTACTTCATACAAATATGCACAATGTGCCTCGTTACATTCAGGTGTCATTCAGAACGGCGTAATGAAATGCGAGGATAGACGGTTGCCAACTATGTTGCATTGAACGACCCGATGATCTGTGGGAACTTTCTCAACGACGGCTCTCTTTTTCAGATTTCAACCAGTACGAACATCACTAACGAACATCAATAACTTGCGATTAATAAGTCTCCTCAGGTATATATCCTCCTCTAATCTCGGCGAATCGCTTGACGCAACTCGATTTACGCGGTCAAAAAATCGAGAACATATTTGCTTTAATCTCAACTGATTAGCGATTGATTACGTATTGATGATTGACGTATATTAGCAAATAATCGTATATTCAACTAAAGCTGTGTAGCTATAAATATTTTAAATTCATCGTTTATAGAGCATGTCGCTTGCAAATAAATTTAGAACGCATGATCCGGACATTAAACGTGTATTCCTTATGCTGTTTCACATTCTGATTGTTTGGCTCATGAATAGTTCTACGACTTTACGAACATCATTATTATCGCCGAACAAATAATCATCTCAAATATGCTCTGTACATCTTGAAATATTTATATACGTATGTTTTTTTAATATATCATATTTACGCGAAAGAATAATTCATATTAATAATAATTATCCTTTTCTTAAAGAGATAATAGAAGATTATCCTTTTCTTAAAGAGATAATAGAAAAAATGATATTAAATATCAATAAATGTGTATAATAAATGAATAAATCGTTATAATAAAGCGTAGACATCGCAGTTTAGAATGTTCCAGAGCATTCGAGGTACAGCTGCAGCAGCTAATCGATAGATGCATGAAGGGAATATAGATATAATGTATAGAAAATGTGCGAGTATTCGCTATCTACGACCAACAAAATAAACACAATTTCATTATACCTTTATCTCATCTATTATTTCTCTTCAAAATTGTCTTTTCGATATCTTTTACGATAAAAGTAGATAATAAAATAAAAAAGAGATTAATAATTATTACTATCATCGGTTATAAAATGCTGCATTTTACGTAATTTTTGCAATTGATATTAATACTTTCGACTCAGATATAGCAATCTTACGTGATAATAACGTAAATTGCTTTTTAAATACACGGTATATTTTTTAACGTGGCAAAATAAAATATAAACTTCGCATAAAGTTAGAACGTATTTCCCTCGCGTGCCGTTTATATTAAACCCGAAGAGTTGCTTATACTTGATCGCGCAGGGAGGATAATATCTCCTATGCAAGGACAAACAACTATTACGCAATAAGAACGAAAATCGCCCCACCCTGATCGGGCGCGCGCGCGAACTTTACTCTCTGCGAGAGAGAAAAAGTACTACGTCGCAATATCCTCCCTTCGATCACCGCTACAAAGTTTTCCTCGCTGTCGAGGAGCATCGCGTAGGTTATCCCTTCATCGACTCGCTACATAAATAACGAAGCGGGACGGCTTCGTGCTTCCCCGAGCACACAATAACCTGTCCTGCCCGTTGGACTAATTTTAGTTGCCTCGCCGGTTCAAACGCGACCTTGAACTCGACAGTCACGTCGAGTTGATGTTGCAATCGGGGCGGGGTACGATACACGCACCCATAATTCTCGCAAATCTCAAATTCCGGTCGTGCGGACTCGAATCGGCCGACAGGCGAGCCGGTTCGCAACGATCCGTCTGTGACACTTGCGACATAACAATGTGTTTCGCAAAATACGCACTACCGCGGGTTATAGCAGGGTAGTTTCGAGCCCAGGGTGCACGCAGGTGTGGATGCGGTCCGGTGCGCGTTCTCGAAACGTCCATGAAACGCCCTATGCTATCGATCGCTTTCATGACCAGGTCCTAGCCGCCGAGAGTATGTCGCTGGGTGAAGGTTGATGAACCCGCTGCAACGCGATATGTGCCCGGTTCGGTGCAGATCCGATGCATGTCGAATAAATCGCAGTGAAATTAGATGAAGGGCCTGTAATTTTGCGAGATTATGCATTAGAAATATTAGCGCGAATTGCGAAGATCTTTATGCAAAATGTTACCTCATGGAAATTGCGTTGTTTCCTACTTAGCAGTTGTGAGCGTATGTATTTAATCAATTCTGTCTCCGATCAATATATGAATTATATAAAAGTTTGTTATTATGTTAATCTTTTCGTATATATAAATATTTATATTCGTCAGAACAGAATTAACATATGAAAAGATTATTTTGAAAAATCCAGATTTTTTATTTATTACTAGTTTGTGACGTTATTATAACAACTATATGTGAAATTTATATTACGTATATCCTCTATTGCAATTGCATATGTAATATATTTATAAGAATTACAGTTGATCTAAAAATATGTTTATTTTATGAAAGAAAATTGAATATACGTAATAGAATCGAGAATATATCTGTATTTATACACGTATTCATATACACAATATATATACATACAGCTGAGAAGAAGAGAAGGTCTAGAAGCAAAGAAATAAAAATATACAGAATAAAAATACAAGACTCAACGTGGGTTCTTTGAGCGTTCTAGAAACTTCCAAGAGATGCACTTCGACCGTATTATATCTCATGTACAGTGTTTATTTTTGAATGGCTAAGAAAATTGAATCGTACTTTTTCAACATAAAGAATGTATATTAAAGAGCATAATATTGGAAAGAAAAATTCGAAAAAAATATGAAATAAACAAAATTAAAAATTATATATGTGTATACAATACACATTACATATATGTATATTTTATATATAAAGTTTCTTAGAAAGTCATCATACTATTTGTTAATTCAAATTTTCAAGATTATTTAGAGATAATTTTTCTTGAAAAAAAGCTGTTAGTAAATTAAATTTTATATAAAAAGAGTTATAAGATTACTAAACTTATATATATTCTTTCGTTAATTTCAGATAACGTTTATTTTGATAGAATTTTAATTTAAGATTTAGTTATTAAAGACATATGAAGCAAAAATGGTGGAAACTTGCAAAAAATAATGATTTTCCTCGACATTTTCGCTCGAGCTTGTTTCTAAATGATTTCAAGAATCTTCCATTAGCAAGTATGATGCAATGGCCCTGAAGTATTTTGTATACTATATCTTATATGCTATATATATTATATCATATATGTTGTATATATGTAAAAGAACATTATATACTTTTGTATAGTACTTTTGTATAGATCTGTTTTGTTCACAGTCGATCTGTGACTTATCAATTGAGGAAATACATATATATTATTGCAGCATTTATGCATTATTTTTTATTATAAATAATTCACATCACATTATTAATTTTATAACTAAATGTCAGTTTAAATTAAATAATTAAATTAAATTAAATAATATTAATAGATTATATAAAAATTAAATAAGTAAATAAATTTATACACATATCATAATACTTTAATCATTATTAAAACTTATTATAAGAAAATTCATTAAAGTATCTAATAATTCTATTTTCAATTTTCTTCTAAATTTAATATTTGATTGAAAAGGGAATTGTTTATTATATTATTATGTATTATATATCGTTATATGTTGTTACACATCCGCCATCTACTACAGCTTATAGTTACTCTTAAGAAATCTGACCAGTAGATGATAATTTAAAGAAAATATGATTCAATTAATAAATATAATTGTGTATTATGTAATTGTAATTCTGTATTATGTAATAGACATCATAAATATACAAAGAAATAATTAAAAATATTAATTATATTTCAATTTATACAGAACATAAAATTAAAATTGCTAAAGCTAAACTTTACTTATATCGCATAAATTATCCGATTGCGATAAAACTTTAAACGATTTTTCATCAATTTTCATCAATTCTTTATCAAAACAAATAGATTCTTTTCTACTTAATTGTCTTTCTGCAAACAATATTTGATAAGCATACGATCCAAGTAAGGCTCCCAAAGTAGGACCAAGCCAATAAATCTAAAACAAGTAAAAAATTAAATAATCTAATAAGAATTTAATAGAAATAAAATAAAAATTAAAACTATATTATTTGTATATATATATTATTTTCTACCAGAATTATTATTGAAAAGCAAATATAGATTTTGCTCTTATATAAGATTGTTTAATCGCGGAATGCGATTGCCATTGAATTAGAAAAAACTGATATATGATGTATAAATAAACTGATATATGTGGTTTGATTTGTTATCAATCTCGTGCTCTTATGCTCGAGTGACTTATTGCTTACACGATATTCAATGTTATAAATCTCTTGTAAATGAATTAATGCAAGTTTTAAATTTCTGTATGTTCTTCATATAATTTAAACTTATTATATATATGTAATAAAATGAAAAAAATTGCTATAACAAATATAATCTATGATACAATAGCATCTTTTGGATTTAAAATCCACATGCACTGTTGTTAATATATAAAGATCAATCATAAGACATGAAATTGTCGTGATACTGTCTCTTAATTGCAATTCTTCTGTATACATTTTTATATATTTCCTATTATTTTTCTTGTTTACATTAAAACATTAAATTTTTTATTTTCAACTTACCCATTGATCTTTCCAAGCACTATTCCATAATGCAGGACCGAACGTTCGCGCTGGATTCATGCTGCATCCAGTATAAGGACTCTGAAAGAGTATGTACAGAAAGGAATTAATTATTAATTTTTTTCACACATATTTCTTTATAACAATTGGCAAGTTTATGTGTAAAGTAATTTTTCTTTCAAAAATTATACACATATAGTAGTTTTATTTTTTAAGATTAATAAATTACGTCATAAAAAAGACACGCTTCTAAATAAGAATAAAATATTAAAAATAATATTAATACTAAATAATAATTAAAGGAAACAAGATACAAAAATAGTTGAGAAAAAAAATTTTACCGCAGCAAAGGAAATAGCAGCAACTGCAAGACCAAATCTGAGGGCAGTCGAATCTGTAGTATGAGCGCATCGAGGATCCCATGTAGCACAAGCCGCACAAAGTATACAGCTCGTGCAAAACACTTCGATTAATATAGCTTGAACACTGTTAATTCCTGGATGAACCACCGTGACGCAAAGACCAATAGTCGAGTTCGCATTTCCATCGTTAAATAATTCCGCTGGCGTTATTATCTGATGACAACATAGAACACCTTTAATAATGTTTGGCATGCTATAGTGATAACGAAAATAAAAATAAAAACACTTTTAAAAGTCCATATCCCACGATGGCGCCGATAAACTGGCCCAGGATATAAATCGCGCCGGTTGGAATCGATTTCAGACCCACGATAACGGCACCAATGGTAACTGCTGGATTAAGATGAGCTCCACTTACATGACCTAGCATCTGAGAAATACCAAGATTAAAAAAATATAATATAAGTAATATAGGTAAATGTTATTCAAATTAAAAATAAAATAAAATTAAGAAGAGGTTCACAAAATATCAATCAAAACAAATTACAAAATGCTAAAAACCAAGTGCCGATGTAAAAGCGTAAAAAAATATATAATAATTATTATTAATAAATCACATTAAATATGATAAATCAGAGAAAAGATCGAAATATATAATATAAGATTAAAAGTGTGACAAACGTTTATTCAAATTTTTACAGATTAAATGTATTTTTCACGATTCGTATCAATTTATATGATAATGAAAATTGTATAAAAAAGCATATTAAGTAAATAAAAAATACAAGATAGAATTTATTAATAATTTGTCCATATTATTGAAAACACAAACGCTTGTTAACTCACATGAATTAATTATGCAGCAACATACCATAATTATAAGATTCACTGTCAAACCGAAAGTCAGTGCTGTTTGCAATGGTGGAGGTGGTGCTGGTCCCATGGTACCGATACAACCCATACAACCGATGAATAAGAGAATACCCGTACCAACAATTTCTGCTGCAAACATCGTTATTGTGTTCTCTTGCAGCTTCCACAGAACATCTGTAAAAATCGCGTATATTGACGTTCATCTAGATTCTAATGAAAAAAAAAACACTCACTATTTTGATTGTCTCCCATAGTGAAAGAGTGTACAGACGACAGACGGCAGATTTACTATCGTCACTTACTATTGACACATTACTTTAATAATCTGCACTAATCGCTATAAATCGAGGAAAAAATAGAGCATCTTATCGATATGTCAAGTATTTTCTTGAATCACTGTTTGCGTAACTATATGTCAAAGAATTTTTATTCCCGCGATATCGCATTATTTTATAAAATTGTAGTAGATATCTATCCAATACATACGAATCAAATATCTTCAACTTGTCGATTCACATGAATATACCTATGTTCTGGATGATCGTATTCTAAAAAAAATACACTACACTTTCAGATAGCACGTGGAAGAATAAAGCTCTGACTCAAAGAGTATAAAACCTTTGTTTTAACAGCGCATGCGTTGCCACTCGCAAATGCGTTTTTTCCTTGCCATTAGAAGTTACAACAATTTTAGCAGATTGCCCATAGAAAATCATCGCAACGCATTTTTTCCTTGCCATTAAAGTAGATTATCCATAGAAAATCATCGTAGGGAAGCGAACTTTGCACGCAAGCGCTCACGGTTTATTCTCGAAGGATATGTCGTGTTCGTCAGTCATCGCAGGTATACGTGTAGCAAGATAAAACAATTACAAGCTAACAATTTCTAGCGATGGGAGGAGATAATCGCACAATATTTCGAAATAATAATTATAGATCCGATACCGAATATGTGATGAAGGTGGCTAAGACTCTATTAACACCTGTCGGTATCTGGCCACTTTATAGAGGCACCTCTACATCCGATAAAATGAAGAATTTTTTGCAAACTGGAATAATATTCGGCCTGATGTGCTTTTTGCTTATCCCGCATGTTATATATACCTTCTTTGATGCAGAAGACCTGACTAAATACATGAAGGTCATAGCTGCTCAGGTATTTAGTCTGCTTGCTATTATCAAATTCTGGACAATGATCATCAATAGAGAAGGGATCAGATACTGCTTACAACAGATGGAGATTCAATACAGAGACGTAGAGTGCGAAGAAGATCGATTAGTGATGACGAAAAGCGCTAAAATTGGTAGACTCTTTACGGTGACATATTTGGGATTATCGTATGGTGGTGCGTTGCCCTATCACATAATCATGCCACTGTTGGAGGAAAGAGTCGTCAAGGCAGACAATACGACACAGATACCTTTACCATATCTTAGCGACTACATCTTTTTCGTGGTGGACAATTCACCATTTTACGAGATTCTTTTCGTTTCGCAAATTCTAATCAGCAGTATCATTCTCTCCACGAACTGCGGTGTTTACAGTTTAATCGCCACCTGCGTGATGCATTGTTGTTGTTTATTCGAAGTCGTTCGTAGACAGATGGAAACAGTCCTCAGCAATGGCACTGATAATCTACATAAGCGGCTCGGACAAATAATTCAACATCACATGCAAGCCATTAGGTGAAAAAGCCTTATAAATACGTATATCTCTCTCTTACGTTTCTATAAATTATTTTATTACTTTTTAAATTAAATTATATACAACTATAAAATATAAATTGAAAAAAAGAAAAGGCGTTTATTGTATCTCAGTTATCTTAATTTTATTTATGAATTTACTGAATGTAATGAAATATATTACAGATTCGCAGAGATGATTGAAAAATCATTAAACATTGTTTTCTTATGCGAAATGGTTGGATGTACTATTATTATATGTTTTCTGGAATTTGGAGTTCTTAAGGTATTTCTGTTAAAAATTAATGGTGCAAAATCAAATTATCCACTAATCCTACATTTTTACAAAGATGTTCTATGTTTATAAAATTATTTTAGGAATGGGAAGAAGGAAAGATTTTAAACATGGGCACGTATTTTGTTTTAATGACATCAATATTTGTGAATGTTTATATTATATCAGCTATCGGCGATCGTCTTAAAGAAGAGGTAAAATAAAATAATTTTATATTAGTGTTTATAATTTATAATAAAATATAATACATATCACATATAGCGTCATAAAAAATGATAACTTTATATAATAAATAATCAAGCTTTAATTTTTTTAAATAATGTAATCAATTAATTAAACATTCAATATTTATTTCTTGTTTATAAAGAGTGAAAAGGTAGGAGAATCATCATACTTTATCGAATGGTATAATTTGCCAACAAAAATCATAGCTGATTTAATTTTGGTAATGGTCAGATCTGGTCGTCCATCAACTTTAACTGCCGCGAAAATATTTGATCTCTCCCTTCAAGGATTTTGCGAAGTAAATATTTATTATGAAATTTATCTAAAAAATTAATAAGTATTAAAAATTAATATCTATCACATGTATATTTATGTACATTTTTATAGGTTTGCAAAACATCGGCGGCGTATTTCAATTTTATACGAGCAATGACCACATAAATTTATAAATATTATTGCACAATATTGTCGACTATCTTATATAAAATAAGTTGTTACGTATAATGTCGCTTCTTTAGATATAATATATATCTCACTTACACTTTTCTTATTTAATGTAAGTAAAACGGTCACCTATCTGTTCAATGTTCTGAACAATAAATTACTAATAGTAATACTTGAACAATGTTATATATCATATAATTTCCACATATAATGTCTTTATCCATAATCCCTCTTTTCTTGGAAAAAAATTTATTCAAATTATGAGTTATATCTAACATAGCATAATATCGCATAATGCGTACTCTTTGTTTCGAACTTTTATTGCGATATTATTATCTTTCCCTTTTCAAAATTCTTATTTTTCTTCGAATCCCATTTAAAGATTTGTAAAATGTAAATCGCAAATAATCAAAAACTTCACGTTCTATCTTCTGATTGCAATGAAATTACCAGGAGTAATTTGCTTACTAAGAATATATTTCAATAACATGATTTACCGATGTAAATAATTTGGCACTGTTAAAAATATTAAACTAAGGAACCGACAATGGTTCAAATTATTATTATACACCTGAATTATTCACACATATACACATGTAACGATATAAAATTCAGAATGTTATTTTTATAGATATAACTGGATAATATAATTTATTCTTTATGTGCACCACTATGCTGATTTTAGTAAATATATAATATATATGATAATATTCTTAGAAATATACACACGCACAAGATATATTTAATATTAGATTTCACTCCGTTTTTATGACTGATAGAAATATATCCCTTTTTGTACATCGCACGTTTTTGCTCTTGACAGAACAGCAAAGCAAATCTCCTATCTTTTATCTTACAGCGCTTGCGTAATCATTAAAATTATGCACATTTGCTTCCCCTGGGGAAATTGCGACGATTCTCAGAAGGTAACCCCTACACAAAGTTACCGCGGAGAGGCAAACTTTCTGCACGCAAGCGCCCATGCGGTCAACTTTCATACGACTCTTTTGATTATAGTTGAAAATCAAAACGCAATCAAGCAATTATAAAAACCGCGAACATGTCGTCGACTAACGCCAGCCGCACGCTGTTTCGAAACTTTAATTACAGGTCCGACGCGGAATACGTGGTGAAAGTCTCCAAAATCTTGTTGACGCCCGTTGGTGTCTGGCCTCTTTACAAGACTGATTCTACGTTTGATAAGATGAAATACGTTCTCCAAACGAGCTTCATGTTCAGTTTGATGTGCTTCTTACTCGTTCCGCATATCATATATACCTTCTTCGATGCGAAAGACTTGACGAGATATATGAAAGTGATAGCCGCCCAGGTATTCAGTCTTCTGGGTATCGTCAAATTCTGGACGATGATTATCAATAGAGATGATATCAAGCATTGTCTACAACAAATGGAAATTCAATATAGAGATGTGGAGAGTGAGGAGGATCGATCGGTGATGGTGAAACACGCCAAAATCGGGAGACAGTTCACGATCATGTACTTAGGACTATTGTATGGTGGTGCGTTACCTTATCATATAATTATGCCGTTGGTGGCAGATAAGATCGTCAATGAGGATAATATAACGCAGTTGCCTCTGCCATATCTCAGCGATTATGTCTTCTTCGTGGTGGAGAACTCGCCGTTCTACGAGGTTCTCTTCGTCACACAAATCGTCTTCAGCACCATCATCTTATCAACAAACTGTGGCGTTTACAGTTTAATTGCTACCTGCGTGATGCACGCCTGTTGTCTATTCGAGATCAGTCGTAGGCATATGGAAACTTTCTTGATCGACGAAACTAATGATCTTCACAAACGATTTGGTCAAATAATCATGCATCATATGCGAGCTCTCAGGTTGGCAAATAATATGCAAATGTTAATGACATATTTTATTAAATTATTAATGTAATGCGATATTAATATATTTTATTAAAATAGAAAGTGCGCATGTGTGTAAATGTGTGTAAAATAGAAAGCAAAGAAGATAAATACTGATTTCATTTTTATTTGATTTGATTTGATTTATTACATGAAGCAAATAATATTTCTTACAATACAGTTATTTGCAATAACATATTTTTATTATAATTTATAATAATTATTATATCATAAAAAGTTATTTCTACAGATTTACTGAGATGATTGAAAAATCATTCAATTTTGTCTTTTTATCCGAAATGGTTGGATGCACTATTATCATATGTTTTCTTGAATATGGCGTCCTCAAGGTATTTTATTAGAAATATTTTTCTATTATATCGATTGCTTTTTATTTTTGTAATTTTAATACTAAATTAACTTATATACAGTGTGTCCCTAGAAGTGGTCACCCTCTTTATTTTTTAAATTAAAGGAGATAAACTATAACAAATATATATGAAATTAAATGGCTTGAAATAAATTTTATTGTGAGTATAGTGATTGATTACAAAATTTATCTGTATTGAAGAATGGAGAGATGTGCATAATTTTTTTATAATAATGTAGATATTTTGATATAATAAAAATTATAGCGCTGTTTGAAACGAATATAATGATATATAATGATGTATGATTTAATGTAAATATTTTACATATTATACGAGATTTCCCGGCTTGAAATATTGCGGGCGATGTCCACCATTTTATTTTCGGCCCTGCGATATAACGATTTTGTAATCAATCACTATACTCACAATAAAGTTCAGTTCAAGCTATTTAATTTCATATATATTTGTTATGGTCTATCTTTTTTAGTTTAAAAGATAAAAGGGGATGGCCACTTTTAGGTGGGACACGCTGTATATACACACAATACATATGATATATATATACAGATGTATATACATTGTATTGCTTTTATGAATAAAATTATTTCAGGAATGGGAGGACAATCAAATGTTAGGTACAATTATATATTTTATTTTAGTAATTTCAATTTTGGTAAACGTCTTTACTTTATCATCGATCGGCGATCGACTTAAAGAAGAGGTAGACCTGACAAATTATTAATTTAACGAATATTGAAAAATGTTTCGCGTATTAATTAAACACTCTCGATATTTACATTTAATTTTATGCCACAAACAAGAGTATAAAAATTGGAGAGACGTCGTATTTTATCAACTGGTATGCGTTACCAGCGAAGAACGTGAACGGTTTAGTCATGGTGATGATCAGATCAAATCGTCCTTCAACACTGACAGCTGGTAAAATATTTGATGTATCACTTCAAGGATTTTGCGACGTAAGTAATTTTTGTGATTGTTCATTAATTTGATATTTAATCAAACAAACTGCTGAAATATTTAATGAATGTTCACAGGTATGTAAAACATCAGCGGCGTATCTTAATTTCATTCGAATGATTGCAGCCTAAACATCGCTGCAATATCAACTATCTCGATCGAGACATATCAATTTCTTATTTTCACTCTATCACAAATACAACACTTATCATCTTATTCGCATTTATCATTTATCTTCAAGCGACATTAATGAATCGAGCAATCAAAAAAATATATTACTATAATATATATTACTAAAAAATATTGCTATATAACTGTTAGCTAAAATAATATTTAACGTCATGATACAAACACTTGGAGCCGCAGTTTTTCCGTAAGAAAGAGAATTAAACTATAATTCTACAATAGAGTCGGCAGAACAACTTGAGATCGTGCTTCCCTCCCATGTTAAAGTTTCTTGGAGCATTATTAGTATCCCCTCGCTCTGAACACAATTGTACTTTTCTCTCAACTTTACTGGAACATTATTTAAAATGCAAATTACGAATGACGAGGGATCGTTTTAATCACTCTAGTCAGAAAACAGCCAAGTGCATCTCGCGCATGCTTACCGACAACTTTTCTCCCAACTTGACTGTTAGTCGTCATTGAATTATCATCAAGATTGCACTCAACGCAAACGATCGCTGCATTTATGGAAAAGTTCCATCCCATGCAAAACGACAAATGGATTTTGGATTTTTACTATGCTGCACAAGTCAGCTTCTGGTTGTTGAAGCCGATCGGTGCTTGGCCACTGGAACAACGAGCTACCAAAATAGAAATTATTATATATAGCTTATCAATTGTCCTCGCTATGTTTTTCCAACTGTTTATGATCATTCCGTGGATCATATGTATAGTTACCGCCAAATGGAGCATGTACGAGATTCTCAGGACTGCATGTCCGCTAATATTTTCAATTACTGTCTTTCTGAGATACTTACTGTTGCTATTCCGTCGAGATGAAATCAGATCGTGCATCGATCATGTTGTTGAAGACTGGCGTAACGCGACGATAATCGAAGATCGCAAAATCATGTTAGCGAACGCTAAATCCGGACGCTCCTTTGGCATTATCTCCGCGGCGTTTATGTTCGGCAGCGGTATACCTTATACCTGCATGCCTTTAGTGTTGCCATCCGTCGTTACAGAAGACAACGTGACAATTAGATCGCTGCCCAATCCTTCCGAGCTACTCTTTTTGGACAACCAGGTCATTTCAATGTACGGTGTTAAAATCTTTCATTCAGAGAATCGAAGGACATTTTACTTTCAATTTCTTCATTTAAATTTTCTTTCTCCTTTCTCTTTTTTTTTATTTTATAATGGAAATGTATCTAAAAAAATTTTTTAAATTTCTTTTTCATAATAAGTTGATCATAATCTTAATATTAGCACAGGCGTTCAAGAATATATTGCTAATCATATCAATAAAAACTTTTAATTTAAAAATAATTGTATACAGCAAATTGTATTAGCAAATTATAATTTTTTAGCAATTTTGTGTTCTTTTAATTATCTCATACAGGTCAGTCCAATTTATGAAATCGTATATGTGTTGGAAACTTTATCGTGTTGTACATTATATACCGTATTTTGCGGTACTTGTAGTTTAACGGCTAAATTCGTTACTCACGCGTGTGGTCAGTGCGAAATCCTGATGTATATTTTTGAAGATGTGATCGATGGTGGTAATCGAAACCAGGGCACTATCGATCAAAGAATTAGTTTTGCTATAACCCATCACCTCCGAATATTCAGGTGAGTTGATTAATAGTATAACTAATTTCATTTGTTTATCATTTATTTTCCATTTGCAATTTTCTAGAAATATATTGAGTTTCAGATTTGTTTCCGAAGTAGAAAAAATTTTAAACGAGATATGTTTAGCGGAATTTTTAAATGCTTCGTGTAACATATGTTTACTTGGTTATTATGTTATTATGGTATGTCGATTAATAATATTTGATAATTTGATATTTCATTTTATCAGAAAATCTAAAAAGATTTAAATATATATATTAATTATATTATACAAATATTATCTATATAATCTATTAATTATTTATTTTTAACCTTGTAGGATTGGAACAATCATGAATCGATGCTACAAATTTTTGTATATTTTTTTGCCTTCGTATCTATCACTTTTAACATATATATATTTTGTTATATTGGTGAACAGCTTGTAGATCGATACCAGAAAATAGGTGTTAAATGTTATATAATAGAATGGTATCGTTTACCTGAAAATAAGGCGCGTAACTTGATTTTCCCGATGATTATGTCGAATTATCCGATTGAACTTACTGCCGGAAAAATGACGACAATGACTATAAGCAGTTTCTCTAATGTAAGTATGCTAATTTTATTGAGGATATCTTGAATTGTGTAAATGTTATAAATGTGTTGATGCTGCCATATGTTATACTTTAGATTTTGAAAATGTCGATGACGTACTTGAATTTACTTCGCGAAGTTGTCTCGCGGGAAAATATATAAATGTGCAAAGATAGAGAGAATTTTTGAGACAAAGTATTTAAGAGTATAATACATTCTTCGAAGATTATTAATATTTTTAGAAATATGCGAGCAATCTACTAAGTAATAAGTGTATATGTAGTTGAATATGTAAGATCAAAATGTACAAGAATAATGCGAAGCACACGGTTATGTAAAAACTTTTACACACGCAATATTAGCTGTAAAGTTTTTTTGAGAAAAATATCAGAAAATATGAGAACTACATAATGTTAGTAACTTTGCGATTATCCTTGAACAAAAGTTTCCATCGATGCCACATCATCGCTGTAAACTTTGTTCAACCCTTCTTCTTCTTGATTTATTTTACAATCACAGCTGTTGTTTCCCCATAAATTGACAACATTAAAAAATGCAAATTACGAGTCACTACAAAGTCACGACTTTTATGACTCGTAGGGATCGGAAAGGTTCATCGAACGGGCCGCGCATGCTTCGTAGTCGTAGAAATCCGTGTTGAATTTTTATTTCGCAGTAGTAAAGTTCAAGTTGGCAGTAACGTTACATCGGAAGCAAAAGGTCGCGTTTGTTAACACACACATCGCCAATAAAATGAAACAAAATAAGAATCACATCTCGGATTTTTATTATGCCGTCCAGATAAGCTTTCGCTTACTGAAGCCGATCGGCGCCTGGCCGTTGCGACAGCAAGCCACCAAGATAGAAGTTATCATTCACGGCTTGTCGATCGCCGTCGCCACGTTTCTTCAATTTTTTTCAGTCGCCTCGTGGATCACATGTATAATTACTACAAAATGGAGTTTATACGAGATTCTTAGAACCGCATGTCCATTGATATTTACATTTACCGTATTTCTGAGGTATCTCCTGTTGCTGTTAAATCAGAATAAGATCAAATCATGCATCGATCAAATTGCTGAAGACTGGCGAAATGTGACGATAATCGAGGATCGCGAGATCATGCTAGCTAATGCCAAGTCGGGACGCTATTTTGGTATCATCTCCATAGCGTTTATGTTCGGCAGTGGTATACCTTATAACTGCATGCCATTAGTATTACCACCTATCGTTACGGAAGACAATATAACGATTAGATTGTTGCCCAACCCCTGTGAGCTGATCTTCTTGGACGTCCAGGTCAATTCAATGTACGACATTAAATTCCTTTATTTGCAAACTGAAAAGCTATAATTATATCATATTTTTAATCTTATAATTATAGCGATCTTCTGTTTCCCTTTTTGTCATAAAAAAAAATCAGAAAGTTTATAAAAGAAAAATGAAAAATTATTTTTATAATAAATTAATTATGTATTCTTAGCGATAGATGGTTAGATATATTTGGCTAAAGTTATAATTAATAAAAACATTAATGAAAATCATTTTAAAATATAATCAATAAAATACAATCATTTTAATTTTATATAATTGAAAAATTTTTTGACAATTATGTATTCTTTTAATTACAGGTCACTCCAGTTTACGAAATCGCATATGTATTAGTAGCTTTATCGTGTATCACTGCGTATACCACGTTCTGCGGCATTTGTAGCTTAACAGCCAAATTTGTAACTCACGTATGCGGTCAATGCGATATCCTGATGCATGTTTTCGAAGAGTTGATCGATGGTGGTAATCGAAATCCAGGTACCGTCGATCAAAGGATTAGTACCGCTATAATACATCATCTTCGAATACTCAAGTAAGTTGATTAATTGATTGTATAACTGATTTGATTTATTTATTTATTTATTTATTATATTTGAATTTATTTTCACTTGCATTGCAATTTTCTGCGAATATTATGTTAAATTTCAGATTCGTTTCTGACGTAGATAAGGTATTGAACGGGATATGTTTAGCGGAATTTATAAATGCTTCATGTAATATATGTTTACTTGGTTATTACGTTATCATGGTACGTTATTACAGTTTTATTTCAAAATTTTATTGTTTTTATTAAATAAAATGGAAATATTTTATACATATATATATATATATATATATATATATATATATATATAGTTTAATTTAATTTATTAGTTGTATTTCTAACACATTACTCTATATATATATTTTTAACATTATATGTGTAGGATTGGAATAATCAGGAATCAATGCTACAAATTTTTGTGTATTTCGTCGCCTTTATATCAATTACTTTTAACATATACATATTTTGCTATATTGGCGAACGGCTCGTAGATCGATGCCAACAAGTAGGCATTAAGTGTTACATGATTGAATGGTATCGTTTGCCACAAAATAAGGCACGTAACTTGATGTTCCCGATTATTATGTCGAATTATCCGGTTGAGCTTACTGCCGGAAAAATGGTAAAATTAACTATGAATAGTTTTTCTAATGTGAGTATGCAAAATTTAATTATGAAGACTGATTCAAAGATTTCTATTATAATTATCGATAACGACATATGTGTTATTATCTAGATTTTAAGAACGTCAATGGCATACCTTAATTTACTTCGCGAAGTTTCCTCGCGAGATATTATGTAAATATACAAGAGTTGCCTATATTTTTCAATGAAATAATTAGGAAACATAAAAGATGCGCGAAGATTATTAATATTTTCAGAAATATATGTTTGAAAAAAAGATTTTGCTGAATAATCTTAGACAGGTAATTTAACGTCAAATATAAAAATATAAAAGAAATATAAAAATAATACATAATACAAAATTGTATAAAGAAAAACTTTACGTTTTACAAGTTGTAGAGTTTTTCGAAAATATTAGAAAATATCAGAACTATTACATCAACAACTTTGCATTGATTATGCTTGGACAAAAGTTTCTATCCTGCTACCGTAACATTGTATTAAACATAATTGTCCATGTTTACCCTTTTCTGATTTATTCCAACCGCAGCTGCGCTGTTTCCCCCGTAAACTCAACTAACAATAAGTACATTACAAAATGCAAATTGCTAGTCATCAAAGTCGCGACTTTTACTTGCGAAGATTGCAGGAGTTCATTGAACGTGTCATGCGCATGCTTTCTAGCAGAAATCCGCATAATTCTGACAATCTAGATAGTACAGATCGAGCAAGCACCGCCTTTACATCATGGGAATAATGATCGACCGGAAACAACTAACAAACACCGACAGGGTAACGAAACGGAATATATGTGAATCATATATTTCGGACTTTTATTACGCCATTCAGATAAGCCTTTGCCTGTTGAAACCGATCGGTGCATGGCCATTAGATGACGATAAAACTTCGAGGCTTAAGGTGGCTTTGCATAAGCTATCAATGATGATCGCTACGTTCCTCTTAATTTTCACTATTGTGCCGTGGATCATGCAAATCATCAAGGAGAAATGGAGCGTCTTCCTGATACTCCGTACGATATGCCCGCTGCTCTTCATGTTGACGGTCTTCACGAGTTACATTTTGTTGCTGTGGCATCAAGATGAGTTCAAGTTCTGCATCGATCATGTGGCCGATGATTGGCGATGCGGGATAATCGTCGAAGATCGGAATATCATGCTGGCGAATGCTAAAGTGGGCCGCAGGTTTGGTATCGTTTCTGTGGCTTTCATGTTCAGCGGTGGTATGTTGTATGGTATGCTACCTATGGTGTTGCCGAATATGGTCAATGCAAATAATGTTACCGTGAGACTGCATCCGTCCCCCTGCGAATTTCTCGTGTTTGATTCCAAGGTAAATTCGACGTTCAAAGTGAGTCATAATTTTAATTAATAATGCTGATTGATAATGTTAAATTTATATTTCAATTATTATAAAATATTCTATTCTTATTGCGTTTTCTTTTTAATGACAACTTTTTTCAATTTAAAAACAATTTTTTCTTTACAAAAAATATCGAGACTCTAATAATTTTCGAATTCTAAATTATAATTTTTGCTAAAGAAGACGAGAATCTAAATTGATAAAAGAATTTTAAAAATAATTTATTAGAAATAAAATATATTTTATATTTATATAATAATATTCACGTACAAATCAATTATTGTATCATCGCACAGACTAGTCCTGCATATGAGATCGTGTATTTTTTACAACTTCTCTCCGGTTGTACTGCCTATAGCGCATTCTGCGGGATTTGCAGCTTGATGGCTCATTTCGTCACGCATGTGTGCGGCCAATGTGACGTGTTAATGGCAATTTTTGAGGAAACCGTGGACGGTGGCAAACACAATGACGGTTCCATCGAGAACCGAATAGCTACCGCGGTAACCCGGCATTTACATTTGCTCAGGTAATAAATCAAATGCAACAACATTTCAAATTTTTATGAACACCTGTTCTGCAATTTTGTTTGGCAGATTGGTTTCCAACATAAGCAATTTATTTACCGAGATATGCCTCGTGGAATTTGTAAACGCATCATGTAGCATATGTTTAATTTGCTACTACATCGTAACCGTACGTTGTATAATCGCCTTAGAAATCTCAAGCGATAGACGGCATTTAGGCTTATTAGGATAAACTTTAATAATTGTTGATTTCTTCTCTTAACGTCTTTCGATTAAAATTTCAGGACTTGAATAATAACGAGTCGTTTATACAGATTTTTATGTATCTTTTCGCACTCGCGTCCATCGTTTTCAATATTTTTATTTTCTGCTACATCGGCGATTTGCTCAAAGAGCGCTGTCAGAAAGTGGGTACCGCTTGCTATGCAATCGAATGGTATCGAATGTCTTCTAAAAAAGCAATTGATTTAATTATTCCGATTATGATATCTCGATATCCTGCAACACTCACTGCTGGAAAAATGATGACGATGACTTTGATGACATTTTCTGATGTAAGTAATATCGTTTTGCTCTTTAAATGCGGAATATGATTAAAACTATTTAATGTATCGCGACAGAGTTTTGTACCGATTACATGGATTATTTAGAAATTATAGTTGTACCGATTACATGGATTATTTAGAAATTATAGTTGGTCGATGTTAAATACTATAATTGACTGCTGGCAGATACATAAACTTAATAAATTTCAATAAAACGCATATCTACAAAGCTAAAACTTTCTAATTTCTGTACTGAAAATAAGATATTATATTCCGTAGATCTTAAAGACTTCAATGGCATATTTCAATTTGCTTCGTGAATTTTCCTCACGAGATTCTATAACAATATAACATACTTGATGATATCTCAAAAAGTAGTGTGTTATCTTTAGGCTATTTATAGCAAAGAGTTATTTTCTAATTTTTTAATTCTATTAATAATGCACGTGTTAGTACAGCATTTACGAACAAATAAATTATTCCACTTTAAAAAATGTAACAATTATATAAAACTTACAAAAATATAAAATAGAAGAAATAATAATATTTCAAAGCGTTATATTAACAGCATAATGAAAGTATGAATAATTCCATTAATTTGGATAAATAAATATTTCGTTTAATAATAAATATTTCAAATTTATTGAAATAAATATTTCAATAAAACCCGATATTATTGACAATATGTTTCGATAAAATCATAGTGCAAAGTTTCTCTTATTTTCTTAAATAAATACTGCCAAGTTCAAGTTACAAAGTCAAAGTTCCCGTGTATGATGCACAACTACACGTAGAGAAACCACATTGCATGCAAGATCGCAGAAACTCCTTTCAATGATTATTGTGCTTCCCCTAGAAATTCTTTAAATTTTTAATATATGCAGGCGTAAGAATTGATAACATCTTTCACTGTAGCGGTCAACAAAGAATTTCAATTCTGACTTTTCGTACATTCATTTTTCCATCACGTAATTATAAAATTTTTTCTGTCGCTCTAACATTATTAAAATTACGAGCTGTCTTATTCTCTGGCTTTTATATTATTATTATATAAAGAAACACACATAATCGTGATTATATAATCATCGAGATGAGTCACAGTGATCATTACCAAGAGGACGAGAAATAGTCCTCAATCGTCATCAATCAAAATAGTGTTATATTTCGCATGTTCGATTTGCTATTGGACCGATAGACAATTAAATACGATCAAGAATATTACAAATGTATTTTTCTTGATTATTTCTTAGCTTCTTCTCCATTGCTATATAATATCGGATATTTTGTATTACATATTATATACATATTTGTTAATGAAATGCACAAACAGATGATGATGTCGATATCTCTTGAACGAAGCGTTTGCGAGCAAACTTCCAGAGGAAATTTTTGCTTGTTTAGAGGTCCCAAATTTATATTTTAAGTTTGGCCATTTAATCCGGGAACACCCTGTATATATGTAGCATATAATATAGTATTATAATGCAAGGCAATCAAAATTTCTATTTACTTATCAACATTACAGCTTTTAGAAACGCAAGTTATACAATAGAAGTATCAACAAAGTTAAATCAAATATGTAATTAGAAAACTTGATAAACATTGACATGGAAATGTTTTTCAGAGAAATGATTTGCTGTTTTCAATTTTTGTTCCTCACTTAACAAGTTTAACAAGTTCACTTTACTTCTCCAAACACTAATCGATAAAATGTCACTTGTATATAAATGTATTGCATGTATATAATTTCACATTTATTTATTTTATCATATAGATATAAATTCATATTTATTTAATCCACTTATTTCTCTATTACATCCTTTTATGCAAGTATATTGAAATATTCTTTACTATGCAAGATGTAAGCGAAGCTAATATTACGTGTCGGTCAATGATCTGATAAATCCAATTCCGAGTTTTCATACAGAAAGAAACAAAGTTGTAACCAATTATATTTCAGTATATTTGAAAAAAGATACACATTAGCAAACAGAAATACAATTTTTCCATGGAAAAGCAATCTCGACCCTCGCTGTTGGATAACTTAGTTCTTGCCACAACTCTTTTTCAAACTCTTCCAACATTTGAATCTTTAAAGCGCGCAAGCGCAAGCGGACAGCGAATTTACTTCATCGACAATTTTTTCTCGCAACGATCAGTCGTGATCCGATTTTCGTATCGTTTTCACATACAAAATTAAAAGAAGTATGTTACACAATCAACATTATCAAGATGACATTATGTATATTACACAATTAACGCGTCAAGTTTTAAGTTTACTCGGAGTCTGGCCATCTTTGAACAAAAGAAAATCTATCAGCGAAAGAGCTTGGAAATTTTTATTAATCTCAAGCTCTTATATTCTTCTTTACTGTGTTCTGATTCCCGGCCTTCTTTTCTGGCTGATCGAGAAGAGACCGCGCGTCCGAGTTCAAACGATTCCTCTGATTTTTTACGGCTTTATGGCCACAGGTAAATACAGCATTTTGGTATGCAGCGAAGGACGTATCAGACGTTGCTTGAAACACATCGAGGAGGATTGGAAGTTTCTTATCAGCATGCATGCACGAGATTCGATGATTGAATCCGCAAAGATAGGAAGACGCCTGGTTACACTTTGCGCAGCTTTCATGTATGGTAGCGGACTCTCTTTTCGATCGATTCTGCCATTTGCCAAGGGAAAGATTGTCACCGCGCAGAATGTCACAATCAAACCTTTGCCTTGTCCTGCTTATTTATTTTCTTTCGATATACAAGTTAGTCCTATTTACGAGACGGTTTTCGCGATTCAATTTTTGTCCGGCATAGTTACTTATTCGATAACAATCGGTATATGTGGCCTCTCGGCTGTTTTTGTGATGCACGCTTGTGGTCAACTGAAAATCTTAATGGATTTGATGAGAAATCTCGTTGAAATACAATGGGAAGAGGATCAAGAGTTGAATAGGAAACTTGCTGCAATGGTCGAGCATCAAATAAGGATACGGAAGTAAGTGTTTTCGAATTGTAATTTTTTTTAAATTATCTATTTCGATTGTATGATTTGAAATGCTCAATTATTTATTAATAATAATTGATAATTATTGATAAATCATATTCTGCACATATTCATGTCTTATATACACAGTTAATATTATTTATATTTATATTGTTAACATTATTATAGTTAACATTATTCATTAATTATTCTTTTACTCTTTTTGAAAATGATTTTACTTGTCGATTTAATCGATATTTTAGTTTTTTGCGATTGGTAGAACATACAATGCAACAAGCATGTCTGATAGAATTAATGGGTTGCACAACAATCGTCTGTCTTTTGGGATATTTTATAATCATGGTTTGTGTATAATGTTTATATTTTCGAATTATGTTCTCTCAATAAAATAGTAAAGAAAAAGAAAATAAAGAAACATATGAAGTACTTACATTTATAGGAATGGGAAAATAGCAATTCAATAGCTATGTGTTCTTATTTTATTACACTTACATCTTTGATGATAAACATGTTCATGTTTTGTTATACTGGTGAACAGCTTACGGTTCAGGTATGTTTGTTGATACCAACCTGTTAAATTTTTTTGGTAAACGTCATTACATTATAAAATAAACGATAAAAAGTTATATTTATGTCATAATATAATATAATAATGTCATAAAATATCATAATAATATATCATAATACAATATAATAATATTATTTTTATATTTCCTTATCAAATAGTGTTTTTGCTCTTTATAAATAAATTATTGAAGATACTTATAAAATATGATTAAAATATGAAATGCTTAAATATCAATAATAGGCGGAGAGAGTAGCTAATACATCGTGCGAGCTCGAATGGTATCGTCTTCCGGACAAAAAAGCGCGTGGAATAGTGCTAGTGATAATTATGTCAAACTTGCCTACCAAAGTCACCGCTGGAAAGATCATGGATTTGTCATTCAAGACATACGGTGATGTAAGAACATATATATAAAAAAGCACTCTCATTTATTTTCCCAGAAATCTGCAAAAATTATAACATAACATACAGTGCAATATATTAACAAAATTATTTATTTTTATAATATAATTAAAAATAAATAGAAATATAAATAAAAAATATAAAGATACATGAAAAATACGTATGTATAACATAAGTAAAAAAGATGAACATAATAATCAAATATTTTCTTAATTTACACATTTGGCATTAATTATATATTATATTTTTTAGACGAACAAATTAATAAGAAAGTCAGTGCTATTATTTTTTAAAATAATCTCACACTAAATCATTCATAATTATGGCATACATCTTTAATTACTAGCTGTTTCATTCACATGAATTATTAATATTATTTATACATTTTTTACTTTTATTGAATAATTTCGTTTTATTGAATTACATGAAATAATGCCAAAATAATAAATAAATTATTACAGAATGTTGTATTTTAGGTCGTTAAGACAGCTGTGACATATTTTAATATGCTTCTAAACGTAACAGACTGAATCTATTTCTCTGTGCTGTATAATAATTTTATTCTTATTATCAAAATTATATACACGGATTTACCGTTACTGCAACATTATTATGTAAACTTATGATATAAATGTGTCAAATACAAAAAAGTTTTGTATAATGTACATATATATACGCGCAATATATATTTCAATATAAATTTATTTCTTCTATAGAAGAATACATGCAAAAAGTTTTCTAAAATATATGATACATTATAAATTTTTTTAGAAACTAATTCAATATTGTGTGTGCTAGTTATTTAAATTACATAATTATTATTACTTTCTTTTTAATGATATAAAATAATTAAAAAATAACCAACAATACAAGTATAATTTGACATATATTGAGAAATGCTTAATATAACGTTATACGTTGTCTTTTACATGTGAAATCAAAGCACAATGGAAAAGAAACAGAATTATTTTTAGCGGTTAATGTTCGGTAAATATAATCGTGAGTTTAATACAGGAAAGAATAAAGTTTTAAAGCCTATGTATTCCTAGTTAGTATTTCTAGTTGAAAAAGAGATATACGTTGAACAAAAATCTATTTGTGAAAAGCAATCGTAACCCTCGGTGAGCAAGTTGACTTGGAAACTTTTCTGCTTTTAAAACATCTTTCTCACGCAATCATTTAAATTATTAAAGCGCGCAAGCGTAAGCGAATAGAAAATTTACTTCATCGACTGCTTTGTTTGCTGCTGACAGTCATGATTCAACTCGCGTTCTGATGTGATAAAAGTTCAACAGTAACTTTCTAGAGAAAAAAATTGCAAACCTTCAAACGTTTTTCTAAAATTGAAAAAAATGCCGTGTAACGAACATTATCAAGATGATATTATATTTATCACGCAATTAACGCGTAACATTTTAAGCACACTTGGAATCTGGCCGTCTTTGAGCAGAAAAAAAACTACTAGGGAAAGAATTTACAAGTTTCTATTAATCTGTATATCTTATACTCTTCTTTATTCCGTTCTGATTCCCGGTTTTCTTTTTTGGTTCTTTGAAAAGAGAACACATGTCAAAATTCAGGTATTTCCTCTACTTCTTTTCGGCTTCATGGCCATAAGTAAATACGCTAATTTGATATTGCGCGAGGGGCAAATCAAACGCTGTTTGAAACACATTGAAGAAGATTGGAGAAATGTTACCAATATGAACGCACGAAAGACGATGATTGAATCCGCGAAAACTGGAAGACGCCTAGTTGCACTTTGCGGAGCCTTTATGTATAGCAGCGGACTCTCCTTCCGATTAGTTTTACCATTTGCAAAGGGAAAAATAATTAACGCGCAAAATATCACTATTAGACCTTTACCATGTCCAGGATATTTTTCCTCCTTCAATTCACAAGCTAGTCCTAGTTATGAGATTATTTTCGCGATACAGTTCTTATCGGGTTTAGTTACCTTCTCAATCACAACGGGTGTATGTGGACTTGCTGCCATATTCGTGATGCATGCCTGTGGTCAGTTAAAAATTTTGATAGAGCTAATGAGACATCTCGTTGAAGATCAGTGGCAAGAAAGAGAAGATGCAAATAAGAAACTAGCCGCAGTAGTGGAACATCAAATAAGAATACGATAGTGAGTTATTGGTAATTTTTATATGTAAAATCTATATGTTATAACAAGAACAAAAATAATTATATATTTTAATTTCTTAACAAATTTTATTTGTCTTCCATGCATGAGAAATAATTCTTAATACAGTTTAAAAGTAAAAATGATCGATTTGATATCATCAATACATTTCAGTTTTTTGCAATTAGTGGAACATACAATGCAACAAATATGTTTAATAGAATTAATGGGGTGTACAACAATTGTATGCATTCTTGGATATTGTATAATAGTGGTTTGTGATTTTTTATTATCCTTGTGTTATTTTAAATGTTTTTCTAAAATATATCTTAATAATTATATAATAATAAAATTAAAATATTATTTTTTTTCATATTCAATAATAATATTTAATATTTAATATTTAATATTCAAAAAATTTTAAAATTGTAAATGTATTCGGACAATTCAAATGTCTTATAATTCTAATGTAAATGAAAATTAATAGTGATAATTTTCATGTCTTCCTATACTTATATAAAAAGCTCTTACATTGAAAATATCATCTTTATAGGAATGGGAAAAAAGCAATACAATAGCTACATGCTCTTATTTTATGTCGATTATATCTATGATGATAAATATGTTTCTGTTTTGTTACACCGGTGAACAGCTTACCGCTCAGGTATGTGTTCACCATCAAATATTTTTTACGATTCTATTCTATAATCACGCATACATAACAATATCAATATTTTATTGTTTAATATGATTAATTCTTTTATTTGTGTCTGTGTTTATATATGCAAAAGTAACAAAAATAATTTATCTTAATTTTGAAAATTTCGTATATTAATAATACGCTTAAATTCGTGAAATGTTGCTACGAATGTGCAATAATAATTAATAGGCGGAAAAGGTAGCTAGCGCATCGTGCGAACTTGAATGGTATCGCCTTCCGGACAAGAATGCACGTGGAATCGTGCTAGTAATGATCATATCTAATTTACCAACCAAAATCACCGCTGGAAAAATTATGGACTTATCATTTAAAACATATGGTGATGTAAGAAAATATTTATATATTTAAATTTATATCACACATAATCACAGTGTGTATGCATATGTATTTATGCATGCACAAAGAATTTATTATTACACACACACACACACACACACACACACACACACACACACACACACACATACATATATTATAATGGCTTTTAATCGTAGGATTCTATTAATGCGACTAGTCTAAACGATTTTGTTTTAGGTTGTAAAGACAGCTGTGTCATATTTTAATATGCTTCGAAATGTAATTGATTGAATATTTTTGTTCTAATCATCAAAATTATCTGGTTAACATATAATAATAAAATCATTGTATATCGTCTACACTTTCATGATATGTCAGAAGATATGTCAGAAGTTTTACACAAAAGTTTTCTAGGATATCTGTATATAAATGATATATTTATTTTCGCCTCTTAAATATATCTCTTTGATAAATAACTGAAGGTATATTTTTGTTTTGCATCAGACAGATTAAATTTTTATTGAAATCAGTTTTATGATAAATGTGCAATTATTATTTTACATTTTTCCACAAATATCTATATCGCTTATTATACATATAAAATAAATAACAAAATATAAGAATTTTAAAAAATAAACAGAAATATAATTTTACATTAACAAAAAAATACTATGCATACTCTTTGATTTTTGCATATATGTGCAAGTAAAATGATATAGTAAAACACTAAAAATTAAGAATCTTATTTTACTGCTATCATTAAATAAGTTTCTTTGCACAACATTAACCCTATTTTGACTTTCAGCAAGAATACATTCTCCCTCTACGATAAAAGAATAATAAATAGATCTGCATACAATCTCTACGAAAGTTTCAATAGATGCAATGTTAATCTTTTGCTTGACGTGGATTTACCATTATTGCAACATTACTGTGTAAACTTATGATATATGAGTAAATGTGTCAAATACAAAAGTTTGGTGTATAATGTACATATATATACGCCTGATATATATTTCGATATAAATTTATTTCTTCTATAAAAGAATGTATGCAGAAAGTTTTCTAATATATATGACAGACATATTATAAATTTTTTTAGAAACTAATCCAATATTCTGTGTTAGTTATTTAAATTACATAATTATTATTATCTTCTTTTTAATAATATAAAATAATTAAAAAATAATCAATAATATAATTTGACATATATTGAGAAATGTATTAATACAGCGTTATACGTTGTCTTTTACATGTGAAGTCAAAGCACTGTAAGAAAGGAACAGAACTATTTTTAGTGGTTAATGTTCGATAAATACAATCATGAGTATAATACAGGAAAGAATAAAGTTTTAAAGCTGTATTTCTAGTTGAAAAAAGATATACGTTGAATAAAAATTCTATTCGTGAAAAGCAATCGTAATCCTCGATGAACAAGTCGATTTGGAAACTTTTTCTTCTCTGCTTTTAAAACGACTTTCTCATGCAATCACTTAAATGTTTAAAGCGCGCAAGCGTAGGCGGAAAGAGAATTTATTTCATCGACTACTTTTTTTGCTGCAGACAGTCGTGATTCAACTCGCATATAAGTTTCATATTAACGGTAGTAATTCTGATGATAGAAGCAGTTCAAGATTAATTTTCCAGAGAAAAATAATTGCAAACCATCTCCCAAACGTTTTTAAAAATTAAAAAAAATGCTGCGTAACGAATATTATCAAGATGATATTACATTTATCACGCAATTGACGCGTAACGTTTTAAGCACACTTGGAGTCTGGCCGCCTTTGAACAGAAAAAGAACTATCATGGAAAAAATTCACAAGTTTCTATTAATATGTATAACTTACGCTCTTCTTTATTCCGTTCTGATTCCCGGTTTTCTTTTTTGGTTCTTCGAAAAAAGAACACATGTCAAAATTCAGATATTTCCTCTACTTCTTTTCGGCTTTATGACCGTAACTAAATACGGTAATTTAATATTCCGCGAAAGGCAAATCAAACGCTGTTTAAAACACATCGAAGAAGATTGGAGAAATGTTATCAATATGAACGCACGAAATATGATGATTGAATCCGCGAAAACTGCAAAACGCCTAGTTGCACTTTGCGGAGTTTTTATGTATAGCAGCGGACTCTCTTTTCGATTGATTCTACCATTTGCTAAGGGAAAAATAATTAACGCGCAAAATATCACTATTAGACCTTTACCATGTCCAGGATATTTTTTCTCCTTCAATTCACAAATTACTCCTAATTATGAGATGATTTTTGCGATACAGTTCTTATCGGGTTTAGTTACATATTCAATCACAACGGGCGCATGTGGTCTGGCAGCTGTGTTCGTGATGCATGCTTGCGGTCAACTGAGGATCTTGATAGAATTAATGAGACATCTCGTTAAAGATCAGTGGCAAAAAAGAGAAGATGCAAATAAGAAACTAGCCGCAGTAGTGAAACATCAAATAAGAATACGATAGTGAGTAATTGGTAATTTTTATATGTAAGATCTATATGTTATAACAGGAAAAAGAATAATTATATATTTTAATTTCTTAACAAATTTTATTTGTCTTCCATGCATGAGAAATAATTCTTAATACAGTTATTTTTTAAAAGTAAAAATGCCGATTTGATATCATTAATATATTTCAGTTTTTTGCAATTAGTGGAACATGCAATGCAGCAAATCTGTTTAATAGAATTAATAGGGGGTACAACAATTATATGCACTCTTGGATATTGCATAATAGTGGTTTGTGAATTTTTATTATCCTTGTACTTTTTTTGATGTTTCATTAAAATTTAATTAATAATTTTATAATAAAATGAAAAATTTATTATCAAGATTTTATAAATAAATAAAAATATTATTCTTTTTAATATTCAATAATATAATAATAATATATATTTATAATATTTAATATTCAAAAGAGATTTTAAAATTGCAACTATATTCAGACAATTCAAATATCTTAGGATTCTAATGTATATGAAAATTGATAATGATAATTTTCATGTCTTCCTATACTTATATAAAAAGCACTTACATTGAAAATATCATCTTCATAGGAATGGGAAAAAAGTAATACAATAGCTACATGTTCTTATTTTATGTCGGTTACATGTATGATGATAAATATGTTTCTGTTTTGTTACACCGGTGAACAGCTTACCACTCAGGTATGTGTTCACCATCAAATATTTTTTACGATTCTATTGTATAATCACGCATACATAACGATATCAATATTTTAATATTTAATATGATTAATTCTTTTATTTGTGTTATTAATTCTTTATCTGTGTTTATATAGGCAAAGTAACAAAAATAATTTTTATCTTAATTTTGGAAATATTTCGTATATTAATAATATATTTAAATTCGTGAAATGTTGCTACAAATGCAATAATATTTAATAGGCGGAGAAGGTGGCTATCGCATCGTGCGAACTTGAATGGTATCGTCTTCCGGACAAGAGTGCGCGTGGAATTGTATTATTGATGATCATATCCAATTTACCAACTAAAGTCACCGCTGGAAAAGTTATGGACTTATCATTTAAAACATATGGTGATGTAAGAAAATATTTATATATTTAAATTTATACCATATAATCACAATGTGTGCGCATGTATACATGCACACAGAATTTATTATTATACATATATATATATATATATATATATATATATATATATATAATAACACACACACACACACACATATTCTTAAGGTCCTATTAATGCGACTGGTTTCGTCGATTTTGTTTTAGGTTATAAAAACATCTGTGACATATTTTAATATGCTTCGAAATGTAGTTGATTGAATATTTTTATTCTAATCATCAAAATTATCTGGTTAACATATAATAATGAAATCATTGTATCGTCTACACTTTCATGATATGTCAGAAGATATGTCAGAAGTTTTACACAAAAGTTTTCTAGGATATCTGTATGTACATGATATATTTATTTGCCTCTTAAATATATTTCTTCGATAAATAACTGAAGATATGTTCTTGTTTTGCATCAGACAGATTAAATTTTTATTAAAATTAGTTTTATGATGAATATGCAATTATTATTTTATATTTTTCCACAAATCTCTATATCTCTTATTATACATATAAAATAAATAACAAAGTATAAGAATTTTAAAAAATAAACAGAAATATAATTTTACATTAACAAAAAAATACTATGCATACTCTTTGATTTTTGCACATATGTGCAAGTAAAATGATATAGTAAAACACTAAAAGTTAAGAATCTTATTTTACTGCTATTATTAAATAAGTTTCTTTGCACAACATTAATTCTATTTTGACTTCCAGCAAGAATACATTCTCCGTCTATGATAAAGAATAATAAATAGATCTGCATACAATCTCTACGAAAGTTTCAATACATGCAACGTTAATCTTCTGCTTGACGTGGATTTACCGTTATTGCAACATTATTGTGTAAACTTATGATATAAATGTGTCAAATACAAAAGTTTGGTGTATAATGTACATATATATACGCGCGATATATTTTTCGATATAAATTTATTTTTTCTATAAAAGAATGTATGCAGAAAGTTTTCTAAAATATATGACAGATACGTTATAAATTTTTTTAGAAACTAATCCAATATTCTGTGTTAGTTATTTAAATTACATAATTATTATTATCTTCTTTTTAATAATATAAAATAATTAAAAAATAACCAATAACATAAATATAATTTGACATATATATTGAGAAATGTATTAATACAGCGTTATAAGTTGTCTTTTACATATGAAGTCAAAGCACTGTAAGAAAGGAACAGAACTATTTTTAGTGGTTAATATTCGATAAATACAATCGTGAGTTTAATACAGGAAAGAATAAAGTTTTAAAGCTGTATTTCTAGTTGAAAAAAGATATACGTTGAATAAAAATTCTATTCGTGAAAAGCAATCGTAATCCTCGATGAACAAGTCGATTTGGAAACTTTTTCTTCTCTGCTTTTAAAACGACTTTCTCATGCAATCACTTAAATGTTTAAAGCGCGCAAGCGTAGGCGGAAAGAGAATTTATTTCATCGACTACTTTTTTTGCTGCAGACAGTCGTGATTCAACTCGCATATAAGTTTCATATTAACGGTAGTAATTCTGATGATAGAAGCAGTTCAAGAGTAATTTTCCAGAGAAAAAAAATTGCCATCCCCCAAACGTTTTTAAAAATAAAAAAAAAATGCTGCGTGACAAATATTATCAAGATGATATTACATTTATCACGCAATTAACGCGTAACGTTTTAAGCACACTTGGAGTCTGGCCGCCTTTGAACAGAAAAAGAACTATCATGGAAAGAATTCACAAGTTTCTATTAATATGTATAACTTACGCTCTTCTTTATTCCGTTCTGATTCCCGGTTTTCTATTTTGGTTCTTCGAAAAAAGAACACATGTCAAAATTCAAATGATTCCTCTACTTCTTTTCGGCTTTATGACCGTAACTAAATACGGTAATTTAATATTCCGCGAAAGGCAAATCAAACGCTGTTTAAAACACATCGAAGAAGATTGGAGAAATGTTATCAATATGAACGCACGAAATATGATGATTGAATCCGCGAAAACCGCAAAACGCCTAGTTGCACTTTGCGGAGCCTTTATGTATAGCAGCGGACTTTCCTTCCGATTAATTTTACCATTTGTAAAGGGAAAAATAATTAACGCACAAAATATCACTATTAGACCTTTACCATGTCCAGGATATTTTTTGTCCTTCAATTCACAAGCCAGTCCTAGTTATGAGATTATTTTCGCAATACAGATCTTATCGGGTTTAGTTACCTTCTCAATCACAACGGGTGTATGTGGACTTGCTGCCATATTCGTGATGCATGCCTGCGGTCAGTTAAAAATTTTGATAGAGCTAATGAGATATCTCGTTGAAAATCAGCAAGAAAGAGAAGATGCAAATAAGAAACTAGCCGCAGTAGTGGAACATCAAATAAGAATACGATAGTGAGTTATTGGTAATTTTTAAATAATTTAATTTAATTTAAATGTAATTTTAAAATCTATATATTATAACAAGAAAAGAAATAAATATATATTTTAATTTCTTAACAAATTTTATTTGTCTTTCATGCATGAAAAATAATTCTTAATACAGTTTAAAAGTAAAAATGATCGATTTGATATCATCAACACGTTTCAGTTTTTTGCAATTAGTGGAACATACAATGCAACAAATATGTTTAATAGAATTAATGGGGTGTACAACAATTGTATGCACTCTTGGATATTGCATAATAGTGGTTTGTGATATTTTATTATCCTTGTACTTTTTTCAATGTTTCATTAAAATTTATCTTAATAATTTTATAATAAAATGAAAAATTTATTATAAAGATTTTATAATTAAATAAAAATATTATTAATTGAGTGTACAAATTAGGCAGAGAAATATTATTCTTTTTAATATTTAATAATAATATAATAATAATATTTAATATTTAATATTTAATATTTAAAAGATTTTAAATTTGCAAATGTATTCAGACAATTCAAATGTTTTATGACTCTAATGTATATAAAAATTGATAATGATAACTTTCATGTCTTCCTATCCTATATGAAAAAAGGCATGTGACGCTTGAATTGTTGCTGTTTTTCCGCGATGCCGATTGGTTGTTTTATTGCGCTCAATTCATGTTGTGAGCAGTTGTCATTTGCGATTATTACAAATTTTGACAGCTTGTGTGACTGTGAGAAATGTATATATAATAAAAGGGAATAAATGGCGCGCGCGAAGCGCGCGCTTTGCGTTGTCTAGTACTTATATAAGAAGCATTTACATTGAAAATATCATTTTTATAGGAATGGGAAAAAAGTAATACAATAGCTATGTGTTCTTATTGCTTCACGCTTACATGTATGATGATAAATATGTTTTTATTTTGTTATACCGGTGAACAACTTACCGCTCAGGTATGTGTTCACCATCAAACATTTTTTCGATTCTATTATACGATTTTATTATATAATCACGCATATATAATGATATCAACTTTTTTATGTTTAATATGATTAATTCTTTTATTTGTGTTTGTGTTTATATATGCAAAAGTAACAAAAATAATTTTTATCTTAATTTTGGAAATATTGTGTATATTAATAATACGTTTAAATTCGTGAAATGTTGCTACAAATATGCAATAATATTTAATAGGCGGAGAAGGTGGCTATCGCATCTTGTGAACTTGAATGGTATCGCCTTCCGGACAAGAGTGCGCGTGGAATTGTACTAGTGATGATCATATCTAATTTACCAACTAAAGTCACCGCTGGAAAAATTATGGACTTATCATTTAAAACATATGGTGATGTAAGAAGATATTTATATATTTAAATTTATATCATATAATCACAATGTGTGCATATGTATACATGCACACAGAATTTATTATTATACATACATATTCTTAGTCCTATTAATGCGACTGGTTTCGTCGATTTTGTTTTAGGTTATAAAAACATCTATGACATATTTAAATGTACTTCGAAATGTAGTTGCTTGAATATTTTTGTTCTAATTATCAAAATTACCTGGTCAACATATAGTAATAGAACCATTGTTGTACACTTTCATGGTATAGATATGTCAAAAGTTTTACACAAAAGTTTTCTTTAGGATGTTAGTATATACGTAATATATTTATTTTCGCCTCTTAAATATATCTCTTTGATAAATAACTGCGCATGCAGAGGGTGTATTTTTGTTTTGTAAAATCTGACGGAGAGAGAGAGATTAAATTTTTATTGAAAAATCATCAAGTTTATGAAGAATATACAATTAGTATTTTATATTTTTTCACAAATATCTACATTTACATCTATTTTCTTTCTTATTATGAAAAATATATAACAAAGTATAAGAATTTTAAAAGATAAACAGAAATATAATTTTACATTAACAAAAAATATATTAATATAGTACTATGCTATACATACTCTTTAATTTCTGCACATATATGCGAGTAAAATGATAGGTATAATAAAATACTAGAAGTCAACTACCTTATTTTACTGCTATCATCAAATAAGATTCTTTGCACAACATCCTATTTTGACTTTCAGCAAAAATACTTTTCTCCCTACGATAAAAGAATAATAAATAGATCTGCATGCAATCCCTACGAAAGTTTTAATACATGCAATGTTAACTTTCTGCTCGACGTGGCTTTTCAATCTCTCTACGCAAGCGCACGCGAATTATAAACTATGCTTTCGTCTAACAAAGGGTAGATTGTGGTCAGTGGTGAACAGACACGCACTGTTTCAGCATTGTATATTACAGAAATATTGCGTGTTATATAATACATGTAGTTATAATATTGTGCTGCAAAATTGTGAGATATTATTTAGATATAAATTGTAGAATCAATCCCAACATGTTTGCCAACAAATATTACGAAAGCGATATAAAATACACCTTCGAGATAAATCGCTTCTTCTTCCGTTTACTAGGTATATGGCCATTTCCGCGCACGAATTGTTTTCTTCCTGGGATAGTGGAGACAGTCTTGTTGACCATCGCGTGTTTTACTCTCCTCCTTTCTGAAATAGCATCGACTTTGATCTATATATTCATAGTCTTGAAAGATATTCGCTTGAAAATTAAACTTGTGGGCAGTATGCTGTTCACGATAGCATCGACTATCAAATACGGCTATGTATTGCTTTACAAGAATGAAATAAAAAATTGTTTGAAGCTAGTTGATGAGGACTGGCAAAATGTTGTTAACTCAAGTGATCGTATCTCAATGATAGATAGAGTAAGAATTGGTAGACGTTTAGTTATAATGTGCGCCGTATTTGTCTATTTAAGTGGCATAGCTGTACGAATTGTTATGCCGCTGTCAACGGGAAAGATCATTACTCCTCAGAATATTACAATTAGACCTCTGCCATCTGCGGCGCATTTTATTATCTTTGATGTGCAGCACAGTCCTGCTTACGAAATCGTATTTTTATTACAATCTGTTACGGGAGTTATAAGGTACACAATTATAGTGGCAGCTTTCGGTTTCATAACTCTCTGTGCAATGCATTTTTGCTCGCAACTGGATATATTAGTGACATTAATTAATAACTTTGGAAATGAGCGCCAAAAAGAACATTTAAACAAAAGGCTGGCTATTATCGTGGAATATCATATCAAGACACGAAAGTAAGTCCTCGTTTGCTCATACTCATATAATTTTTCAGTGATTTTGTTAATATATAGAAATTTCATTAGAGAGAGAGGAGGGAGAGGGGAAGAAGGGAAAATTCTATAATTTAATACATGATAATATTTTAAGTGTAAAATAGATAAATGTGATAAAAATTGTTTGATTATTAAACATACATGATTGACACTTTTTCTTTAAGAACGATGTTTGTCTGACACTATTTCTCATAAATTTTAGTTTTTTACGTTTGGTGCAGAATGCTGCTCAATATCCAAGTTTAGTGGAAATTGTGAGTTCTAGCATATTGATATGTTTTGGAGGATATTATACTATCATGGTACACACACAAACATTTATATAATATAAGAGAATTTAGACGATCTGGTACGATTTTCGATAGAAAATAACTTCGTAATATTCTAAGAAATATTAAAGCATTTGCATAATTTACAGGATTGGAAAGACCATAATATTATACGTCTTTGCTCATATACCATTGGATTAGTCATGCTTTTTTTCAATGTATTTATTTACTGTTATATGGGCGAGCAAGTCATCGAACAGGTATAAGTTTTTAAATTATAATTTCGTTATTGTGAAAAAATGAATTATTTAACAGATAACTAAAGGAATATATGCAAAATAATCTTTTTCAATTTTATTTCTGATGTATATAATTAATTAATGAAATTAGGAAAAGAAAATAGTATCAACATTGTGCACTTTAGAATGGTATCGTCTTCCGAATAAGAAAGCAAAAGCATTGATTTTAATCATGGCTATCTCAGACACTTCGTTAAATCTAAAAGCTGGGAAATTTATCGAACTTTCTTTCAAAACGTTAAGTAACGTAAGTAACTGTCTTTTTAAAATAAATATGATTATCATTATTAATAACAAAAATATTTATTTGAAAAGAAAAGAACGATAAATTTATAAGAATATATTTTAGGTCTTTAAGATGGCAGTTACATATTTAAATCTTCTTCGATCACTCGAATGAATATTAAAAATTAATCGTAAATGCACACATAAAGTAGTAATGAAAAATTTGTATTCTAAATAAAAATAGTAAAAAGACATAAAAAGAGTAGCTGTATAATGCGATTGATGATTCTTTATTTCAAATATCTATTCATTGTAAAATATTATAATAGTGCATTTACAGATGTTTGAATTAATTCAAAATTCAATATATAATTCAATTTATAATTCAATACATAATTCAATTGATAAATATTTGCATATAACAAACCTCTAGGAATTAACTATTTCTTTTGTTACTTACTTTTATGAATAATATAGAAGTATATCCATTTTACGTTTTTTATCAAAAATAGAAATATAGATGTAAAATAACTATAAAATAAATAGCAAAATATAAGAATTTTAAAAAATAAGCAAAGAGGTAGAGGGAGAAAAAAAGAGAAAGAGAGAGATAATTTTATTATCAAAAAATATATTAAAATGTTACTGTCTTATACATACATACATATATATATATATATATATATATATATATATACACACATATATACATATATGTATATGTATGCATATATTCATTGACTTCACACAATATGCAAGCAAAGTTCAATATGTGGAATATTAAAAGTCAACAATCACACCTCATTTTATCGTTATCATTAAATAAGTTTCTTTGCACATTAATTCTCTTTTGACTGCTAGCAGGAATACGTTCTCTCCCTACGATAAAAAAATAATGAATAGATCTGCATGAAAGTTCAAGCAAAGCTTCAGCACATGAAATATTAACCCTTTACTTGACGAGACTTTTCAATCTCTCTACGCAGGCGCATGCAAATTATAAACTATGCTTTTGTCTAAAGGGTAAGCTGCGATCAGTGGCAAACAGACAAGCATTGTTTCAGCAATGTATATTACAGAAATGTTGCGTGTTATATACTATATGTAGTTATAATCTTGAGCTGCAAAATTGTGAGATATTATTTAGATATAAATTGTAGAATCAATCCCAACATGTTTGCCAACAAGTATTACGAAAGCGATATAAAATACACCTTCGAGATAAATCGCTTCTTCTTCCGTTTATTAGGTATATGGCCATTTTCGCGTAGAAATTCTTTTATTCCCGAGATAATGGAGACAGTGATGTTGACCATCGCGTGTTTTACTCTCCTCCTTTCTGAATTAGCATCGACTTTGATCTACATATTCGTAGTTCTAAAAGATATTCGTTTGAGACTTAAAGTTATAGGCAGTATGTTGTTCACGATAGCAACGACTATCAAATACAGCTATGTATTGCTTTACAAGAATGAAATAAAAAATTGTTTGAAGTTAGTTGATGAGGACTGGCGGAATGTCAACTCGTATGCTCGCAACTCAATGATTGATAGAGTAAGAATTGGTAGACGTTTAATTATAATGTGTGCCATATTTGTGTATTTAAACGGTGTAGGTATACGAATTATCATGCCGTTGTCAAGTGGAAAGATCGTGACCTCTCAGAATATTACAATTAGACCTCTGCCATCCCCGGCGCATTTTATTATTTTTGATGTGCAGCACAGTCCCGCCTACGAAATCGTATTTTTATTACAATCTTTTACGGGAGTTATAAGATACACAGTTACAGTGGCAACTTTCGGTTTCATAACTCTTTGTGTAATGCATTTTTGCTCGCAGCTGGATACATTAGTGACATTAATTAATAACTTTGGAAATGAGCGCAAAGAAAAACATTTGGACAAGAGGTTGGCTATTATCGTGGAATATCATATTAAGACACGAAAGTAAGATTTGTGTGTTATACTCATATAATTTTTCATTGATTTTGTTAATATATAGAAATTTTCTTAGAGAGAAAGAGAGATAGAGAAAGAGAAAAGGGAGGAAGGAAGGAAATATTATATTTATAATTTAATACGTGATAATTAACATCTTATGTATAAAAAAGATATGATAAAAATTGTTTGATAATTAAACACACATGATTGACATTTTTCCTTTAAGAACAATATTCACACTTTATCTCATAAATTTTAGTTTTTTACGTTTGGTGCAGAATGCTACTCAATATCCGAGTTTAGTAGAAATTATGAGTTCTAGCATATTGATATGCTTTGGAGGATATTATACTATCATGGTACACAAACATTTATATTACCTAATTATAAAGAATTTAAACGATATGTACACGATCTTCGATAGAAAACAGTTTCGTAATATTCTCAAAAATATTAAACCATTTACTTAATTTACAGGAGTGGGAAAATCATAATACTATACGTCTTTGCTCATATATCATTGGATTAGTGATGCTTTTATTCAATGTATTTATTTATTGCTACATGGGCGAGCAAGTCGTCGAACAGGTATGTGGTTTTAAATTGTAATTTCGTTATTGTTAAAAAAATAATCATGAAAATAACTTAACAGATAACTTAACGGAATATGTGCGATTTTTTCCAATTATATTTCTGATGCGTATAATTAATTAATAAAATTAGGAAAGAAAAATAACATCAACATTGTATACATTAGAATGGTATCGTCTTCCGGATAAAAAAGTAAAAGCATTGCTTTTAATCATGGCTATCTCAGACACTTCGTTAAATCTAAAAGCAGGAAAATTTATTGATCTTTCTTTCAAAACATTGGGCAATGTAAGTAATTGTCCTTTTAAAATAAATACGATTATCATTATTAATAATCAAAATACTGATTTGAAAGAGAAAAATAGTAAATTTATAAAAATATATTTTAGGTTGTTAAGATGGCAGTTACATATTTAAATCTTCTTCGATCACTCGAATGAATCTTACAATTAAATATAAATGAATAAATACGAATGAATTAAATACGAATGACTCGTAAATACACATATAAAGTAGTAATGAAAAATTTGTATTCTAAATAAAAATAGTATAAAAAAATCACATAATGTGATTAACTTTTTATTTCAAATATCTGTTTTTTAATTAAGTGCATTTACAGACATTCGAATTGATTTGTAGCTCAATATATAATTCAATTGACAAATGTTTGCATATAATACATTTCTAAGAGTTAAGTTCTTTTGTTATTTACTCCAATTAATAATGTAGAAATATATTCATTTTGTGTTTCTACCAAAAATAGAGATATAAAATAACTATAAAATAAATAGCAAGACATAAGAATTTTTAAAAATAAACAGGGAGAAAAGGAGAGCGAGGAATAAAAAAAGAGAGAGAAAGAGAGAAAGAGAGAGAGGTAATTTTATATTATCAAAAAATATATTAAAATCATACTGTCTTATACATGTAAATACTTAGACTTCTACACATGCAAGAGTAAAGTTGAATATGTGGAATTAAAAGTCAACAATCTTATCTTATTGTTATCATTAAATAAGTTTCTTTGCACAACATTAATTCTCTTTTGACTGCCAGCGGGAATACTTTTTCTTCCTACGATAAAAAAAAAAAATGAATAGATCTGCATGCAACGAAAGTTTTAGCACATGCAATGTTTCCCATCTGTTTGACGTGGCTTTTCAGTCATTCTACGCAGGCGCATGCAAACTATAAATTATGCTTTTGTCCAATAAAGGATGTGCTATGGTCAGTGGCCAACAGACGTGCATTGTTTCAACATTGCGCATTACAAAAATGTTACGTGTTATATAATATATGCAGTTATAATTTTGTGGTGCAAAATTGTGAGATATTATTTAGATATAAATTGTAGAATCAATCTGAACATGTTTGCCAACAAATATTACGAAAGCGATATAAAGTATACCTTCGAAATAAATCGCTTCTTCTTCCGTCTAATAGGTATGTGGCCATTTCCGCGCATGAATTCCTTTATTCCCGAGATAATGGAGACAGTTTTGTTGGTCATCGCGTGCTTTACTCTTCTCCTTTCTGAATTAGTGCCGACCATGATTTACGTATTCATAGTCCTGAAAGACATTCGTTTGAGACTTAAAGTTATAGGCAGTGTGTTATTCACTATAATAACTACTGTCAAGTACGCATATGTATTGTTTTACAAGAATCAAATCAAAAATTGTTTGAAGCTAGTTGATGAGGATTGGCAAAATGTTATCAACTCAAGTGCTCGCAATTTAATGATCGATAGAGTAAAAATTGGTAGACGTTTAATTATAATGTGCGCCGTATTCGTGTATATAAACGGCGTAGCTATGCGAATTATTATGCCGCTATCAAGTGGAAAGATCATCACCCCTCAGAATGTCACAATCAGACCTCTCCCATCCGTAGCATATTTTGTTATCTTTGATGTGCAACGCAGTCCGGCTTATGAAATCGTATTTTTTCTACAATCCTTTACGGGAGTTATAAAATATACAGTTACAGTTGCAACTTTCGGCTTTATAACTCTCTGTGTGATGCATTTTTGTGCGCAGTTGGATATATTAGTGACATTAATGAATAACTTTGTAAATGAACACCAAGAGGAACATTTAAGAAAAAGGTTGGCTGTTATCGTGGAACATCAAATTAAGACTCGGAAGTACATTTTTCTTTGCTCATATTTATATAATTTTTCATTGATTTTGTTAATATATATAAATCTCACAATAATATTCATTATATAATAACCATTAAAGAGAGAGAGAAAGGGAGAGAGTATTCAATAATGTAAGACATGATAACATTTTATGTATAGATAGATATGATAAATTGTTCAATTATTAAATATATAATTGACACTTCTCATTTAAGAACAATATTCACATTTTTCTCATAAATTTTAGTTTTTTACGTTTGGTACAGAATGTTACTCAATATCCAAGTTTAATAGAAATTACGGGCTCTAGTATACTGATATGCTTCGGGGGATATTACATTATCATGGTGCGCAAGCGTTTATATAATAGTGAATTTTAAGAAAATCTAGTATGATTTTAAGAAAACTTAGTATGTTTGTAATAGAAAATAGCCTCGTCATAAATATTAAAGAATTTGTACATTTTACAGGAATGGGAAAATCATAATGCTATACGTTTATGCACGTATATCATTGCAGTAGTGATGATTTTATTCAATGTATTTATCTATTGCTATATGGGCGAGCAAGTCGTCGAAGAGGTATGTGTTTTCTCGAATTGTGGTTTTGTCGTCAGTGAAAAAAGTAATCATAAGATATTTAAGTCATAAACGGAATATATGCAAAATAATTTTTTCAATTTTTTATTTCTGATGTGTACAATTGCTAAAATTAGGAAAAGAAAATAGCATTAAGATTGTGCACATTAGAATGGTATCGTCTTCCGGATGAAAAAGCAAAAACATTGATTTTAATCATGGCTATCTCAAACACTTCACTAAGTTTAAAAGCAGGAAAATTTATCGATCTTTCTCTCAAAACGTTCGGCAATGTAAGTAGCAACTATTCTTTGAAAATTTATAAAATAAAAAAATGATTATCATTATTAATAAAACAAAAATATTCATTTAACACGAAAAAGCGAAATTTATAAGAATATATTTTAGGTCGTTAAGATGGCAGTTACATATTTAAATCTCCTTCGATCATTTGAATGAATTTTAAGAATTAGTCGTAAATACATACATAAAGTAGTAATGAAAAATTTGTATTTGAAATGAAAGTATCATAATAATATAAAGAAATACTTATGCAATACGATTAATAATTCTTTATTTAAAATATTTGTTCTCTGTAAAATATTAAGCATTTACAAAATAGCAAGTAGAAAGAAAGAGAGAAGTATAATTTTACATTATCATAAAATATAAAATAATACTACGCTATTCTTTAACTTCTGCGTGTAAAATGCAAGTAAAATAATATAAAATCTAAAAGCCAATCTTGTTTTACCGCTATCATCAAATAGGTTTCTATCCACAACATTATCGTCCACAACATCCTCGTTTAAATTCCAGCAAGAATACTTTCCCATGTTATGATAAAAAAATTATGAATAGATATACAGCCTCTAGAAAAATATCAATACAACATTGATCATCTGCTGGCTATTCAATCTCTCTACGCAAGCGCACGCGAACTATTAATTATACTTCAGTTCAACAAAGAATATACTTCAGTAGCGAACAAACACGCATTATTTCAACATTGTATATTACAGAAATGTTGCATGTTACATTGTTATATAGTTTCACATTACTAAATTAAGATATTACTTACATATAAATTGTAGAATCAATCCCAAAATGTTTGCCAACAAGTATTACGAAAGCGATATAAAGTACACCTTCGAGATAAATCGTTTCTTCTTCCGTATACTAGGTATGTGGCCATTTCCGCGTACGAATTCCTTTATTCCCGAGATAATGGAGACAGTTCTGTTGAACATCGCATGTTTTACTCTCCTTCTTTCTGAAATAATACCGACCATAATCTACATATTCATAGTCTTGAAAGACATTCACTTGAGACTTAAAGTTATGGGCATTATGCTATTCACAATCGCGACGACTATCAAATACGGCTACGTGTTGCTTTATAAAAAAGAAATTAAAAATTGTTTGAAGCTAATTGATGAAGACTGGCGAAATGTCGTCAACTCGAGTGCTCGCATTTTAATGATCGATAGAGCAAGAATTGGTAGACGTTTAATTATAATGTGCGCCATATTTGTGTATTTAAATGGTGTAGCTATGCGAGTTATCGTGCCGCTATCAAGTGGAAAGATCATCACCCCTCAGAACATCACAATTAGACCTCTCCCATCTGTGGCGCATTTTATTATCTTTGATGTGCAGCGCACTCCCGCTTACGAAATGGTATTTTTTCTACAATCTTGTACGGGAATTGTAAGATACACAGTTACGGTTGCAACTTTTGGCTTCATAACTCTCTCTGTGATGCATTTTTGCTCGCAGTTGGATATATTAGTGACATTAATTAGTAACTTTGTAAATGAGCACAAGAAGGAATATTTAAACAAGAGATTAGCTGTTATTGTGGAACATCAAATCAAGACACGCAAGTAAATTGTCTTTTGCTCATATTTATATAATTTTTCTAATTTTTGGCTAATATATATACATGTATATACGTATATATCCCTATGTATATATTCATTAAAGAGAAAGAGAAAAACAAGGAAAAGAGGGAGAGAGAAAGAGAAAGGGATAAAGAGGGAGAATGAGAGTGAGAGGGAGAGTGAGAGGGAGGGAAAATTCTATAATTTAATATACATAATATACATAAAGATACATGATAACATTTTATGTAAAATTATAATATTTGTTTGTGTGTGTGATTATTAAATATATTAACACTTCTCATTTAATATTCACAATATTCACATTTTTCTCGTAATTTTTAGTTTTTTACGTTTGGTACAGAATGCTACTCAATATCCAAGTTTAGTAGAAATTATGGGATCTAGCGTACTGATGTGTTTCGTAGGATATTACATTATCTTGGTGCGCAAACGTTTATATAATAAACGTTTATATAATTTCAAATTTTAAGAAATCTTATTTATATTTAGTATAAGTTTTGATAGAAAATAGCTTTTATATTCTAAGATCTATCTTTATTAAAGTATTTGTTCAATTTACAGGACTGGGAAAACCATAATGCTATACGTATATGTTCATATATCTTTGCCATAGTGATGTTTTTGTTCAACGTATTTATCTATTGCTATATGGGCGAACAAGTCGTCGAACAGGTATTTTCAAATTATAATTTCATTATTATTAGAAAAATTAGTTGTAAAGTTAAAATTTAATAGATGACGTAATGAAATATGTGCAAAATTAATTAATTTTTTCAATTTTACTTCTAATGCGTATAAGTTTAATAATTAATAAAATTAGGAAAAGAAAATAGCATTAACAGTGTGCACATTAGAATGGTATCGTCTTCCGAATGAAAAAGCAAAAGCATTGATTTTAATCATGGGTATCTCAGACACTTCGCTAAATTTAAAAGCAGGGAAATTTATCGATCTTTCTTTCAAAACGTTCGGCAATGTAAGTACAACTTACATTGTTACAACTTTTTTTCTGATGATGTATAATGAATATTATTATTATTATTAATAACAAATTTGAATAGAAAATGCAATAAATATAGGAATATATTTTAGGTCGTTAAAATGACAGTGACATATTTAAATCTTATTCGATCAATCGAATGAATCTTAAGAATTAGTTGTAAATGCATATATAAAGTAATAATAAAAAATATATATTTTAAATAAAAGTAGTAACATAAACAGAATTGTAATTTATGAATTCATATAATGCAATATCAATAACTTTTTACTTCACAAATATTTATTCTAAATAAATTATTAAATCCATTTAAAGACGTTTGAATCATATTCAAAGTTCAGTGTATAATTCAATCGACCAACGTATGCATATAACAAATTTTAAAAAATTAAGTTAAGAGGATTATTTGCTTACTGTAATAAATGATAAAGAAGTTTCTTATCATTTTGCGTTTCTTAGCATATATATCAAGGTTAATTTTATAAAGCAATAAAAACATTTAAGTTAAAAGTACATCATAAAATGTATCCAAAAATATAAGAAAAAATATTGTTTATCTATTTCTTTCTCTTGGCTATATGTAAAAATAAAATTTTCGTTTCTTTATAATCTAGAAAAAATGTTACCTGATTCTTATGTTTACTATTTATTTTATTTAAGTATTGCACACACACACACAATTTCTTATTTTTAAATTCTTTTATAAAATAATGTTTATATATGTATGTATCATAAAAATATATTACAATATGACGAACGTTATTTAAAAATAATGATATATTTTATATAATATAATTATTATATACAATTAAAATAATTATTTGTTTTAATTTCTCAAATTCTAAATATAAAACGATGTAAAGAGAAAATGTAAAAGAAAAAAGAAGTTGAACGCAATTGTTTTCCTGTTATAAAGTTAAAGTTTGTATGAAAATTGAAAATATCTTCCTGTAGAAATACAACCTCAGTTCTTAACTCTAGACCATTTCATTTGCAAACTTTATGGCTTTTGATTTCCTTACTTCGCATTTAAATTCTTAAAGCGCGCAAGCGCAGCTTGTAGTAGAGAGTTTACTTCGATGTAAGCCTTTCTTGTAACAATCAATCGTAATTCAGTTGTCGTCTACATTTCACAGTATCTGCGATAATTTGCGCGATGGTTGACATTCAAAAATAATTTTTCGATATAAAAATTGTGCAAGTACAAAATTCGCAAAACATGTCGTGGAACAAATATTATAAAGATGATATTTTATACATCACGCAAGTAACGCGTAACGTTCTAAGCGTGCTCGGAGTTTGGCCATCTTCCAACAGAGCAAGATCTACTGGCAAAAAATTTTTCAAATATTTATTAATCTGTGCCTCTTACACTCTTCTTTATGGCGTGCTGATTCCCGGTATCTTCTTCTGGTTAATCGAAAAGAGAACACGTATCAGAATTCAAACTTTTCCTATGCTTCTTTACTGCTTCATGGCCACAAGTAAATATGGTAATTTAATATTCCGCGAGAATCAAGTCAGGCAGTGTTTAAAGCACATTGAAGAAGATTGGAAGATTGTTACTAGCACGGAAGCACGGGATACAATGATCGAATCAGCGAAAACGGGAAGACGTTTGGTTGCACTTTGCGGAGCCTTCATGTACGGCAGCGGACTCTCCTTCCGATCGATCTTGCCGTTCGCTAAGGGAAAGATAGTTACCGCGCAGAATATTACGATCAAGCCCTTGCCTTGTCCGGGTTACTTTTTTTCCTTCAATTCACAAGTTAGTCCTACTTACGAAATGATTTTTGCGATGCAGTTCTTGTCAGGTTTAGTTACTTATTCAATCACAACGGGCGCATGTGGCCTCGCAGCTGTGTTCGTAATGCATGCCTGCGGTCAACTGAGGATTTTGATAGACTTGATGAAACGCCTTGTCGAGGAACAATGGCAAGAAAAAGAAGAAGTGGATAGAAGACTGGCTGAAGTAGTAGAGCATCAAATAAGAATACGAAAGTAAGTTTTTGATTTGAAAATGTATTATTAAATGTATATTATTTCAAAAGTGATTGATCGCTGAATAACAATTAATATTGCATTTCATATATAGTATTGAATTCTATTCTTTCATTTCACAAAAATGCGATACGATATACATCAATGTATTTCAGTTTTTTGCGACTTGTAGAACATACTCTGCAGCAAATATGTTTGATAGAACTGATGGGGTGTACGATAATTGTTTGCAATTTAGGGTACTGCATAATAGTGGTTTGTAACTTATTCTATTTTCCCCATAATAACAAAACAAAAATATTTTTATGTAATTATTAAAATTAAAAATTGTATAAATGTTGAAACGATCGAATAAAATGATCATTTATAGGAATGGGAGAAAAGCAATACAATAGCTACATGTTCTTATTTTATGTCACTTACATCTATGCTAATAAATATGTTTATGTTTTGTTATACCGGTGAACAACTTACAACTCAGGTATGTTTGCCTGTAATAACTTCACATCGGATCATCTTCTTATTAAATTTTATTACATATCTATAATATAAAATAATATTATTTTTGTTATTTTATATATTATAATTTTTTTCTGTTAAACAAATAATTTTTTCCATTAAAAAATGTAATAAAAATATAATAAAAGAATATTTTAATTTTTCAAATAGTCCTCTTAAGTGCATGAAATATATTGCTCTGCATTTTATTAATTAAATATTATGATATTTATTATAGGCAGAAAAAGTGGCTAATACATCCTGCGAGCTTGAATGGTATCGTCTTCCGGATAGAAAAGCGCGCGGGATTGTATTAGTGATAATTATGTCTAACTTGCCTACTAAAATCACTGCAGGAAAGATCATGGACCTATCACTTAAGACATTTGGTGATGTAAGAAATATGTTCGAACAAATTCACTTTATCGTGTTTAGATATATTACATATATATATTATGCAATATATGTTCTAGGTCGTTAAAACAGCTGTGACATATTTTAATATGCTTCGAAATGTTACTGATTAAATATTTCAATTCTAATCATCATTGAAACAATCTAAGCTGTCTTAATAATATAATATTTTATATTATATATACAACAAGTAAAATTATAAAAATTAGAGACGATGTACATACACAATGTGTATTTTCAATTTTGAATATATTCTTGTATAATTATTATTGCATAATTCTCCTTTTCGTATGTAGGTGATTGAGATTTTTCCAATATTATTCATAAACATAAAAATATATAAGTTATTTTATAACTTCATTTTTCTTCAAGATATTACATTTAAAAGTCCATCTTATATATTTGCAACATTTAGATCTTCGAAGCATTGCATACCATTAATCTATTATTACTTTTTATCGATCATTAAGTACTATTTTAATATTTTTAATATTTTTATTGAGAAATTACATAATGATTGTATAACCATATGCAATAGAAATTTTTTTTACTACACAAGTTACAATCATGCGATAAGTATAACTGTTTCGTCTTATTGAATATTCTACCAAGTCAACAACCACATTACATTCACATTGATATTATTAGCAAGTTTTTTCACAGAACATCAACCTTTTTGTGATTTCCAACAAGAGTACTTTTTCTCCCTATAACAAAGCACATTCATAAATAGAGCTGCATGCAATCCCTTTCGATTCCTTTTAAAAGTTTCGTACAATATTACCTATCCGCTTGACGTGGCTTTTCAGTCTTTATAACACGTAAGTGCACACGATATAAGACGCAGTTTTTGTATTCGAAAAAATTTATTAAATAACTAACATTATTAATTCCTACATTAATATGACATTATCAATTCTTTTTAAACTGTCAAAGTATACGATCTCAGTATGAGCTTCTTATAAAGTAAGCATAAACAAAAGAACCAAAAAAAATAAATAATAATAATAAATAAATCTTAAATGAATGATAAATTTGCAAAAATGTATATGTCTTAATGCGATTCAAGTACATAAAATTTCCAAGTTTTTTATTTTTATCTAGAAGTTACACATTTTATGCGAATCTTAATTTATGCTATGTGCATGCGTCAAAATTTTTTTAATTAAATATTGTATTTAATGTGCTTTAAGAACTAAAGAAATCATAATTTAGATATATAATGTTAATTATAAATTGATAAGATACAAATAAATATAAATAAATATGATTAATGAATTAATGTGTTCACATTAAAATTAAAAAATCTATACAAAATAGAATTTATTAGTATGATTTCTTTTAAGAGGTTTATATATAATATTTGTAATATATAATTTTTGTAAAATATAATCAAAACTGTTACTTCTTGATCAACATTACGACCGCAAGAAATGAAAAGAAAGAAAATTAAACATTATCAATTTCCTGACGTTATAAAAGTCAATAAACATAGAACAAGTAAAGAATACTTTTCATGGAAAACGAGAGATCTCGTTCTTTGACTTTACACATAAACTTTACTGTTTCTATTTCTCTTTCTCACGCAACATTTAAATGTTTCAGATGCGCAAGCGCATACGAGAATTGACTTTATGATCAGGTTTGCCCTTTAACGATCAGTCGCGATTCTGCTCGTGCTCAGGTTTCATATAACTTACGTTACAAATGAAGTCCAATAGAAGTACGGCGGAACATTTAAAATTAATCGAAAAAAATGCCACCAAACAAATGTCAGGACGATATTTTATATATCACGCAACTCGTAATGTTTTATTTGCACTTGGCGCCTGGCCATCTATTGATCATGAAGAATCCATGCGTCCGCAAGCTTGTAATTTTTTGCTAATTTGTGTGACTTACACTCTTCTTTTCTGCGAACTTTTACCTGGTATTCTTTATTGGTTGATGGAGAAATCAACGCGCATTCGACTCCAGACAATTCCTCTTCTTCTCTATGACATCCTGTCTGTCAGTCAATACGGGATTTTTATATTTCGCCGTGATCAGCTTGGTCAATGCTTGAAACATGTCGAAGAAGATTGGAATAATATTATTAGTGCGGATATGCGTAATATTATGTGGAAATCCACGAAGACGGGCAAATACCTGGCTAAAATTTGCGGAATTTTCATGTATACTGGTGCCGTTACATTTCGAACTATCTTACCATTATCCCAAGGAAAAACCGTCACTGATCAGAATATTACAATAAGACCATTTGCTTGTCCGGGTTACTTCTTTTCTCTCGACATCTATGTCAGTCCGGTTTATGAGATACTCTTTACAATTCAATGTTTAACAGGTATTGTTATGGTTTCGATCGTGATAAGTGCATGCGGCCTTACAGCAATTTTCGTAGTACATGCTTGCGGCCAATTAAAGATCTTAATCGGCTTGATGAGAAACCTTGTGCAGGAATCTTGGCTAGAGGAGCATGAAGTGGATAAGAAATTAGCTGAAATAGTCAAGCATCAAATAAGAGTGCGCAGGTAAGTCCACAATTTCACACGCTAATTGTGCCTCGTGAGTTATTTAATTTAAAATATTTATTTTAAAAATTTATTTAAAAAATGATAAACTTATTGCTCAATTGCTATTAATAATTTTTTCTCTTTGAGATTCTCTTTTTCTCTTTTTTATTAAAACAAAGAAAATTAATTTTCCGTTTAATTATATTTTAGTTTTTTAAAATTGGTACAGCATACTCTACAAGAAATATATTTGATAGAAATAATGGTAAATACGATTGCTACCTGTGTTTTACTATACTTTATGATACTGGTTCGTAAGTTTAATTAATTTTAGCAAAAAAAGTATTAATTAGATATTTGAACATTTACAAATAAAATAGAATACAATTGAATAAAAATTCAATAATTACTCGTTATTATTCTAATTTTTATTTATTAATATTTATTTTTAATTTTTATATGACCATACATTGTATTTTAGTAATAAAAAATTATTTTTTTTTAATTTGCAATTAGCCAATAATCAGTTTGTCATATAGAACATTTATATTTATAGGATTGGCAAAATAAAAATATAACAGTTTTATGCATTTATTTATTAAGCATTACGAACGTGACAACTCATATATTTATATTTTGTTATACCGGTGAACAACTTACCGGTCAGGTATGTTTTATGAATATTCATACTTGATCTTTAAGATAAACAATCATAATAAAATTAATAATCAAATTTACTGTTCTACAATTAAAATAACATTAACGTTTATTTAACACAAAACGTTTATTTAACACAAAAATGAAATTGCACTTTTAATTTTGTAAAAAGTATTTTATAAATTAAAATATATTTCAATGAAAATTTTTTATTAAAAATGTAAAGAAAACATATAGAAAAAATGTGTATTGAGCCTTTTTATTAAAAATGTAAAAAAATATAAAAAAAATGTGTATTGCACTATCTTTGAGATGACAAATAAAAATTTAACAAAAATAAACTTTGTGGCTATTGCTATGTATGTGTGATAAATTAACGGTAGGCAGAAAAGGTGGCCATTGAATCCTGTGAACTAGAATGGTATCGTCTTCCGAACAAGAAAGCTCGCAACGTTATATTACTGATGATTATGTCTAATACACCAACTAAGCTGTCCGCTGGAAAATTTGTTGATCTATCACTCAAGACATTTGGTGATGTAAGTAAAAAATAAAAAATTTAAATTAGTGTGTTTGTGATTTGTATAAGTCTACAATAAATTAAAAAGTAAATTAAAATTTTTATATCTTTTTATCGTTTATCTCATCGTCTTAACTAATGCAAATATTAAATAAATAATTTTAAGTTTTCATAAATATATATAATTGTTATAGCTAAAGTCTTTTTTTAAAAAATAGAAAATATTTTGCAACATATATATAATATTATATTATAATATTGTGCAATATACATATATATAATAATTATAATTATATAATATTTATGGAATTATTGGATATTTATTAATTTTATTAAACGTATTTGCTATTTATAATTATCTTATGACTTATAATGAAATCAAAACAATGGACATTAAATATGTTTTAGATTATGAAAACATCTGGAGCATATTTTAATATGCTTCGAAATGTAATCGAGTGAATGTTTAAATTCTAATAAACGAGATTATGACAAATTAATGTAAACTACTAATATACTTGATATATTAATTATATATTATGTGAATAAATAATATGCACATATATAAGTTGAATATAAAATTTTAATGTTATCAAAATATGTAAAATGCTCATCACACACATTTAAATATATATTTTATTGAATAATTTATATTACTTATTATAACTTATATTTTTTATTTATATCAGAAATGAGTAACATCTTATTTTTTTTACTATTTAAAAAAATATTAATTGATATCAGAATATATGAATCAAAATATTTAACAAAATGAAATTACATCTTGATCGGAATTGAAATTGCTATACAATTATATTACTAAAATTATAGTTACGATATAGAAAGATACAAAGAGATAAATGTGATCATTTAATTATTACAAAGAGCAATGAACGCGTTCGCACACAATAAGAATAATTTCCATGGCAGATAGTCTCGTCCCTCGAACAATTGTATTCGCAAACTTCATCTAGCTACTGTCTCTCTTCTTCACGTAACATTTGAATTTTTAATGCGCGCAAGCGCAAGCGAGTTTATCTTATGCTCAACTTTTTTCTCTTCGACGATCAGTCGAGATTCAATTCGCATAGATTCCGCATTACTCGTGAGAAACTACTTATCGAATGAAGTTTAAGCACATTATAAAACATTTTGCGAAGTACATAGAAAAATGCCAGGCAAAGAGGATTGTCACCACAATATCATATACATCACGCAACCAACTCGCAATATTATGCGAGCTCTCGGTGTCTGGCCTTCTAACGATAGAGAAAGATCCATGCGTTTGCAAGCTTGCAACTTTCTGCTAATTTGTATCAGCTACACTTTTCTTTCCTGCGATCTTATACCTGGTATTCTTTTTTGGCTGATGGAGAAATCAACGCGTATTCGACTCCAAACGATTCCTCTCCTTCTCTATGACATTATGTCTGTCAGTCAATACGGCATCTTTATATTTCGCCGTGACCAGCTCAAACGGTGCTTGAAGCACATCGAGGAAGATTGGGAGAATATTATTAATGTGGATATGCGTAACATTATGTTGAAATCCGCGAAGATGGGCAAGCGCCTGGCTACAATTTGCGGAATTTTCATGTATACTGGTGCTTTTACATTTCGAACTATCTTGCCATTATCCCAAGGAAAAACCGTCACCGATCAAAACATTACAATAAAACCTTTAGCCTGTCCGGGTTACTTTTTTTCTTTCGACGTCTATGTCAGCCCCGTTTATGAGATAATCTTTACAATTCAGTGTTTAACAGGTTTTATTATGGTTTCGGTCGTAATAAGTGCATGTGGCCTTACAGCAATTTTCGTAGTACATGCTTGCGGTCAATTGAAGATCTTAATCAGTTTGATGAGAAGTCTTGTGCAAGAATCGTGGCAAGAGGAGCATGAAGTAGATAAGAAGTTAGCTCAAATAGTTAAGCATCAAATAAGAATGCGCAGGTAAGGTTGCAATTTTCAAACTTTATTTGCACTTCCAATTAATTGATTAATTTGAAATATTAATTAACTATGTATATCTATTAATACTAAATTTGTTGTTCAATTACCATTTTTTAATAATTCACTTTTTTTATTATTCTTTTTTTCATTGATACAGACAATGTTAATTTTTCACTGATAATTGCATTTCAGTTTTTTAAAATTGGTACAGCATACTTTGCAAGAAATATATTTGATAGAAATTATGGTGAATACGATAACCATCTGTCTTTTATTATATTTCATGATATTGGTTCGTAAGTTGTTCAATTAATTTTAACAAAAAAATTAATATATAAAAATATAAAACTAAAATTACAAATTAAAAAGGTTAATAAGGATCTAAATGTAAAGCACGCAAACCAATCTGAAATTTCGCAAATCAATAAGAGTCATACGTAAATAGTTATCAATTTTACAAAAAAAATTATATTAAATAAAAAAAAGCTATTTTTCTCGTCTATGCTTTTACAAGGTGTGAAGGATATTAAAATTAAATCTGGAATAATTAAGATGTATATACATTTACTTGGTATAAATTGAGAAAAATGCATACTCTATACACATTAATTAATTTAAAAAAAAATTAATTTCCTGTGAAACTGATGCACGATCATTCGAATATGACTTACTAGCCTACATATAAAATAGACAAAAATTGAATAATTACTTTTTAATTTAAAATTCTGATTTTTGATTGATACTAATTTCAAATTTTCATGTAAAGATGCATATTTTAACAAAAAGTTATTTAAAAATTTGCAACTAGCTACAATAATCACAATGTGTTATATACTTATATTTATAGGATTGGCAAAGTAAAAATATAGCAATTTTATGCACTTATTTATTATGCATTATGAACGTGGTAGTTCATATGTTTATATTTTGTTATACCGGTGAACAGCTTACCGGTCAGGTATGTTTAATGAATATTAATATGCTCGATCTTTAGGACAAATAAACATAATGAAGTTCATAACATAATGAAGTTAATAATAAAATTCAGTATTCTACAATTAAAATATAATTTACTTATTAAAAAAATAAATAAAATTTCACTTTTAATTTTGAAAAAATATTTTACGCAAATTTTTATATTTGAAAATACTATATTTCTATGGAAATTTTTTACTAAAAATATAAAGAAAATAAATAGAAAAAATGTGTGTTGCACTATCTTTGAAATAGCAAATAAAAATTTGATGAAAACAAATTTTGTGGGCAATACTACGTGTATGTGTGATAAATCAACGATAGGCAGAAAAGGTGTCCATTGAATCCTGCGAACTCGAGTGGTATCGTCTTCCGAACAGGACAGCACGCAGCGTTATATTATTGATGATTATGTCTAATACACCAACCAAGCTCTCCGCTGGAAAATTTGCCGATTTATCACTCAAGACATTTGGTGATGTAAGTAAAAAAAATTGAAATATTTAAATTAATATATAAAGTTGCAAAAAATTAAAGTAAATTAAAATTTTTTATAAAATTTTATTCGTTTCAACGTATTATTTGTGCAAATAATATATAATAAATTATTTTATGTTTATACATATATATATTATATATATAACTGTTAGTTAAAATTTTTGTGTGGAATGCATTGTGCAATATTTATGGATATTTTAATTTTGAATATTTATTTATAATTATAATATAACTTATGTAATAATAAGAATTAATTAAAACAATGAATCAATTAAATATATTTTAGGTAATAAAAAGTTCTGGAGCATATTTTAATATGCTCCGAAGTGTAATCGAGTAAATGTTTAAATTTTAATAATCGAGATTATGATGTTATGAAACTATATATACTTGATATATTAATTATATATTGTATGAATCAATAGTATACATAAATCGAATAAATTTTAATGTGCTATATAAATATATAAAATACTTATCACATATATTTAATCATTAATTTATACAAATTTTATTGAAGAATTTATATTATTTATTAACACATATTTTTTATTTATATAAAAAAAATAAATAATATATCTTATTTTTTATTTATTTTTTGTTACAAATTTAAAAAAAATTAATTAATATCAAAACGTATAAATTAAAATATTTAATGTAATCAAAATTATTACCTCGCAATCGAAATTGAAACAGTATATGTTAGGATAGGAATATATAAGATTAACATGATCATTTTCCTAGTTGTTAAATACAAAGGACAATGAACGCATTGCTACAAAAGACACGTAGATAAGAATACTTTCTATAGTAGATAGTCTCATCCCTCGAACAATTATATTCACAAACTTCATCGCTACTGTCTCTCTTCCTTAGGAAACATTTGAATTTTTAATGCGCGCAAGCGCAAGCGAGTTTATCCTATGATCAACTCTTCTCTCTTCAATAATCAGTCGAGATTTAGCTCGCGCGTAGATTCCGCATTACTCATAGGAAACTACGTATTGAATGAAGTTTAAGTGTATCATACAGTATTCTGCAAACTATATAGAAAGATGTCAGGCAAGGATGATTGCTATTACAATATTATATACATTACGCAACCAACTCGCAATATTATGCGAGCGCTCGGTGTTTGGCCTTCTATCGGTAGAGAAAAATCCATTTGCAAGAAATTTTATAAACTCCTATTAATCTCTTTCTCTTACATTTTTCTTTCTTGTGATCTGATACCCGCTATCTTTTATTGGATAATGGAGGAAACAACGCGTGCTCGACTTCAAATAATCCCTGTTCTCCTCTATAACTTTATGGCAGCTGGTCAATATGGCATCTTCATATTTCGCGACGATCAAATCAGGCAATGCTTGAAGCACGTTGAAGACGATTGGAGAAACATTATTAATGCTGATGCGCGCAGCATGATGCTCACCTCCGCCAGGACCGGAAGACGACTAGTCGCGTTTTGCAGTGTTCTCATGTACGGTGGTGCTCTCACCTTTCGAACGATTCTGCCGTTATCCCAGGGAACGTTCGTCACCGAGGAAAATATCACAATCAGGCTTTTGGCATGTCCGGGTTATTATTTTTCGATCGACGTGCAAGTCAGCCCCACTTACGAAATACTGTTCGTGATCCAGTGTCTATCTGGCTTAATTTCGGCCTCGATCGCGACGGGCACATGTGGTTTTACGGCTATCTTTGTGGTCCATGCTTGCGGTCAGTTAAAAATATTAATAAATTTAATGAAGAAACTCGTCGACAAACAGTGGCGAGCGGGATACGAAGTGGATGACAAATTAGCTGAATTAGTTGAGCATCAAATAAGAGTACACAAGTGAGTTTGTGTGTTTCACCAATCTTCAATATCACAAATTTTATATTTTTTTGCGATTGATAGCTAGCTCTATTTTTCCGTATCGTAATGTTTGCTATCATCAGTAATAACATTTCAGTTTTTTGCGTTTGGTGCAGCATACTTTGCATCATGTATGTTTAATGGAAATAATGGCAAATACGATAACTATATGTGTTCTGGTGTATCTCATGTTAATGGTTTGTAAATTTGTCAATTGATTTCAGTATAAAAAAATGAATCGCATATGCGATACAAATTTAAAAGATTTATTGATAACTAATAATTTCACTTTCAAACTCTAAATAGTCATATATTTTAAGTAAAATTTAGTCTTTTATGAAAAGATATTTTTATATAAAAAGATATTTTCATATAAATTTTGCGATTAAGCAAAATACTTGTTCAACGAATATATGACAATATATGATATTTGTATAGATATCTTATTTATAGGAATGGCAAAGTAATAATACAGCAGGTGTATGTACTTATTTATTATGTCTTACGAACGTGACGATTCACATTTTTGTATTTTGTTACACCGGTGAACAGCTCACTGTACAGGTATACGTTAACCTGTACTAATATTTTTGACATTTATGCTGGACAATGTAATGCATCTATAAAATAATCAACTATAAATAATTAAATTTATATTCCACAATATATTTATGTTTCTATGAACAAAATTGAATCAAAATTTCTCATGCTGAAAATAAACTTTATCTCATAAAAAAAATTGGAAATATATAATATTTTGCATTATTTTTCGTAAAGAATATTTTAAAATAATTTCTTTTGTTATGCAATAATATTAATGACAGGCGGAGCAAGTAGCTACTACATCTTGCGAACTTGAATGGTATCGTCTTCCGAGCAGAAAAGCACGTAGTGTCGTATTGCTGATGATCATGTCTAATACGCCGACCAAGATCTCCGCTGGGAAACTCATAGATTTGTCACTTAAAACATTCGGCCAAGTAAGATAATTCTAATTTTTTTCCAGCGTATTTGTTTGCAAAGATTTGGATAAAATTTTTGTGCATTAGATATTTGCAAATAATTTTTTGAAAAGATTTATATAGAATATGTAATTATCCATTCTACTACAATTTAAATATATTCTTATACTATATTCTCATAAATCAAAATTGATATATCTCAATTTTAAGAAACGTTTTGCACTTTATTAATGTTTCTTCACAAATAAAAAATGAATTAGAAGGATCAACATATAAGTATATGTTTTAGATAATGAAAACAGCTGGTGCATATTTTAATATGCTACGAAGTATAACCGAATAAATATCTTAATTAAATGGAAATTATTATGTAGGCTATATGTGTATCGATAAAATCATTTTATTTTGAGGATCAAAATATATGTATTAAATACTGAAAAAAAATTTAATGTGTACGATGTATAAATAATATTATATTCTGTATAGAATATTATTCTGTCTCAAAAATATATCAATATAAAAAGTATTTTGTAATGAACACGATACTATAATTTTGGTAATAGTAAGTTAATAAAAAAAAATAAAATTATATATGACAACTTTCCTATTTATTATCAGTAAATGAATGTTGATGAATAAAAGTGTGTATTTTTTTTTGTTTTATTTAAATTGACAATCTGCCGAATAAAATTTCGTATAATTAAAATATAATTTATTATTTTTTATGAGAGAAATTAGAATATAATCAATTATTTTCTATAAAAGAAATTATGGTTTCGTAAATTTGTGTAAAACTCTTTCTTTTATGCAAGAACATTGATTTTCAATGTAAAAGAACAAAATATTTATCGCTTTTTATTTTTAAAACAGCAGAAAATTTAAATCAATAATCAAATTTAAAAATTTTAAATATATATATATATATATATATATATATATATATATATACTGATAAGAAGTAATAACTATAACTGTATCTTGCGATTTCAAGTGACATCTTTTGAAAAAGCTTACAGAATAGTGCTGCTGATAATCATATCTAAGACGGATGATTCTACTAACCAAGATGTCTGTAGTGAAAATCATCGATTTGTCTTAAAACATTCAGTGATATAAAAGGTAATAATATTCAACTAACTTATATATAATAATAACAACATATTTAATTAAAGTTTGTTTTTCATATATAATTTTACCAAATGTATTTATTCTTTCCAATCTATAACTTAATTATTCATTGAAAATAATTGGAAATAATAAATAAGTAAATACCGTTTATATAATTTTTTGAAATTTAATGCATATATTTTAATATTCCAAAGCATAAAAAACGAGCGTTTGAATTTTATTTATCAAAACTGTGATGAAATAATTAACATATTTCTCGATATCACATTTTGTGTATAAAAAAGTACATCTACATATATAAGATTTAAGAAATTAGAATGTAGAATATCTTAGCTGTTCAAATATATTTTTTATGATACTTTTCTTAATGATACTGCATAGCGATGACGATTTTACACAAGGGTTTGTGCAAAATTGTGTATTATGGCTAATACTTCTCTGCAAAATGTTGAGAATATTTTCCAATATTTTTTCTAAAAAAAGAATGTTCTATTTGTGAAATATAATTACATTATCAATAACTACGAAAGTCAATGAACCGTTGACAGATAAGAATAAATTTTACAGAAAAATGTCTCAATTCTCATTTCATTCGATTATTCATTTCATTTTCAAACTTTACTACGCTTTCTCAAGAATTTTAAACACTCATTATTATCCATTCGATTGACATGACTTGTCAATCGCTCGGAACGCAAGCGCACTTACATCGAGTTATATTCAGACTAAACGATAGCTCATCGAATCAGTGATGGAAAAGCATGCGTTTCGTCATTACATCATCACGTTTGGAATGATAAAATCGTGCTAGATAACGTCGTGTACACAAAAATATTTAATAAAAATTCAAAAATGTTCGTGAATAAAAATTACAAAAACGATATAAAATATAGTATGCAACTAAATCGTTTTGTTTTTCATCTATTGGGTATCTGGCCGTGCATGGAGACCGAGCCATCGTTTTTCGAAAATCTCTGCAGGATCTTGCTCATCCTGAGTTGCTATTTACTCCTCGGTTGTGAGTTAATTCCGACAATCTTGTACGTAATTCTCATCGAAAAACGTACACGCGTCAGACTGAAACTTATATCGTCCGTGATGTTCACGATATTAGCAGTGCTCAAGTACAGCAGTCTGGTGTTTGGTCAGAATCAAATGAGAAATTGCTTGATGTATGTCAGGGACGATTGGCAAAATGTCGCAAATTCAAGCGCTCGTGACTCTATGATTTACAGAACTAGGACCGCGAGACGTTTGCTCCTCTTATGTGGTATATTTATGTATTCTTCCGGCTTGTACTTCCGAACGGTAGTGCCATTGAGCAAGGGAAAATCCATTAACCATCAAAATATTACGATCAGGCACTTGCCATGTCCGAGCTATTTCATCTTTTTTGACGGGCAGATCAGTCCCGCCTACGAAATTATGTTTTTCATACAGTTTTTTTCCGGATTTATAAAATATACCATCACAGTAGCCATTTGCAGTCTCGCTGCTCTCTTTGCTATGCATCTATGCGCGCAGTTGAAAATATTAATGATGTTAATGAACAATTTGATAAACGAACCCGAAGAAAAAAATCTGAATAATAGGCTGGCCGCGATTGTGGAACATCAGACCAGGATGCGAAAGTAAGTTTTGCAATATCTATCTTCTTCAGTTTACTTATTTATATGGAAATTTGCGAAATTTCCTTAATCAACTAAATTTTCCATGAAAATAAATTTTCTTAAATCAATTAAATTTTTCATGAATAATTAATTTTTTTATTTTATTAGTTTTTTATGATCTTTTCTAATATATTAGGTCAACAAAGCTTCCTGATAAAAATCTATACCTTGCGCGCATCCCTTTATAGTTTCTTACAATTGGTGCAGAATACTTTGCAATACACGAGCCTGTTAGAAGTGATGGGATGTACAATGATCGCATGCCTTTTAGGACACGATATTCTTACGGTGCGCCTAAATAATTACATAAAAAGATCACACGATTTTACATTTGTATAAAATATGTGTTTTATTATTTGTAAAATTGTAATTACGTACGTTAAATTTATATATACATATTTATATATACATATTTATATATACACATATATATATATATATATATATATTTAAATATATGTATATATATACATATATAAAGTTTTTGACTTTATATAGGAGTGGGAAGATCAAAATGTTATAGCTATGTTTTCATATCTCGTTCTATTGACATCAATTGGATTCAACATTTTTATTTTTTGTTTTATCGGTGAACAACTCTCTGTAGAGGTATGTTTATTATATTATACGGATTCATTACAATAGCATAGCTGTGTGACGCCAAAAAGTGAGACGTTAATCTTTTTTTCCAATTATTAGTTTTATTTATTTTTATTTAATTTTATTTATTTGATATATTTTAATAAAAATAGGGAGAAAAATTGGCACTAACAGCGTGTACATTGGCTTGGTACCGTCTTCCGGATGCAAAAGCACGGTCACTGATTTTAGTCATAGCCATGTCGAATATTCCTACAAAATTAAAAGCCGGAAAGTTTATCGATCTTTCTATCAAAACATTCGGTGATGTAAGTAATAGGTTTACTAATAAAAAATGATTAACAATATACATATATATCGCAGTGATTAACAATATACATATATGTATCGCAAACATTATTATAAACTCAATCTCTTTATTAATAATTTTTTTAATAAAGTACCGATTTATGAAGATTCAACGTTTTATAAAAGAATTAAACTTTTTAAAAAAGTTAATTTTACACAAAAATCATGCAACATGTATAATATATTATATTTTAGGTCGTTAAAACGGCTGTTACATACTTAAATCTTATTCGAAAAGTAATGGAATAACTAATTTTCAATATGTATATACGATTATATGTACAAAGAGCTTGATTTCCTTTTAGATTCTTTATAAATCCTTCAATAGAATTATTAATTATTTAATAGAGAAAAATAGTAAAAATATTATATAAAATGGAAACAACATTTTCTTATTACAAATGCAAATCCTTAAATATTTTTCAAAAAATACTAAATGTTTTCTCACGGGTTCGAATGTATTCTACTTATAGGATGATACATTATATATCATTAATATATATTTAATTTAATTTTTCATTTTTAATTTTTCATTTAAAAAAATTGGTAAAAACACAGAAATTAATATAAATTATTACACAAAATATTTTTTTTAATGTAATAATTATGAATTATCGTATCACATATTTTATATCGCAATTGTTGTTAATATGATCCTATATGTTTTAATGTTGACAGTAAAATAGTCATTAAATACATGCAGAACAATTGAACATACATTGTCATCAAATGATCAATACATTTGCCTGCCATTTTTTCCTACAGAGAGCTTGCTATTTTTTTCTCTCTACTTTCTCGCATTTACTGCTTTCTAAAGTTGAAACTTCCTTGAAGTTTAGACTTCCTGTCACGTATTTCCTTCTTCGAATAAAAACATCCCCAACGTTCGTAATTTTTCCATGATATACAACAAAGAATAATCACTGTCTATGCTACCGATCCCTCTCTACTTCCGTTTCCGTCAAAGACGCAAGCGCATCATCGCTTGAGTTTTCAGCTTCATGACGATGCGATTAGTTTACTAGCAACATCGCGATCAAATGGATCGTCAAGTCACACATATAAATACTTTTCATCATGATGACATTAAGCGCACAGTACAAGTGACGCGCGGTGTCTTAAATTTAATTGGCGTGTGGCCATCACATAGTACTCCATCTGCGTTCAAGATCATCAAAATAAATCTGCTCAGGATTTTATGCCAAGCCCTACTATATGTCGTTTTCGTGTCAGGTGGGCTGAAGATATTTTTTAAAGAATTGAATATGTATCGTCGCCTAAAAGTGATCGGACCTATGTGTAACATATTGATGACCATACTCAAACACATTGCGTTGATTTATCAAGGCAAACGACTTAAGGACTGCATTAGACACATTGAAGAAGACTGGAAGAAAGTAAATTCAATAAAGGATGATCGCAGGATTATGGTGGACAATTCAAAAATCGGTCGCAGTCTGGCGATTCTTTGCGTGACCTTCATGTATGGTAGCGGATTCTCGTATCGTACGATCCTACCATTATCACGCGGGGTCATTGTTACACCGCAGAACGTGACAATTAGACCGTTACCATTCGATGGCTATTACCTGTTCATCGACCCGCAGAAAACGCCGGCTTATGAAATCATTTTCATCATACAGCTTCTCTCTGGATTCGTGCAATATTCGGTAACCAGCGGTGCTTGCAGTCTTGCAGCACTCTTGGTGTTGCATGCCTGTGGCCAATTAAAGATTCTTATCACCAGAATGGAAGATCTTACACAGATCGAACAATTTCCCGATAAAAATACCAATCGAAAATTGGCAGCTATCGTAAGGCAACATATCAGGATTAAGAGGTAATATAATTATTAAATTGAGAGAAATTTTTATTATTCTGTTTTGTAAAAAAATAGAAATACAAAATTAATAAAATTGATATTTTTATATATGTATATATTAATATTATTATTCTAGCTTTTTGAAAGAAATAGAAAAAATTTTGCAATATACATGTCTGGTAGAAGTAATTGGATCCACATTTCTCTTATGTATTCTTGGTTATTATATAATAACGGTATGCCAGACAACTTTATAAATAAATATCGATGTAAATCTAAATATATATACATACATATTTAATTAACGCTAGAGAATATATTTATAATACGCGTTATATAGGAATGGGGAGATAATGGCATGATGCCAATTGTAATCTACACTACAGTTCTTTTAACGTTTACCTTTAATATTTTTATACTGTGCTTCATCGGTCAGGTTCTTACAGATCAGGTATTAATCAAGTATTTAATAAAAGTGATAAGAATCACTGATCTGTTATCGATTACAGAGCATAAAAGTGTATATTACTTCTTCTACTCTTGATTGGTATCGCATTCCTCACAAAACTGCTCACGGTCTTATTTTAATAATCGCGGTATCTAGTATACCTATTAAAATCACCGCGGGAAAATTTATGGATCTATCTCTTAACAGCTTTGGTGCTGTAAGTGTGTAAGATATTTTATTCGTTAACAATACAAAAAAATTTAAATCTTTTAATAACTCAATATTTCGAATTGTTATGGAATATACAATTACACATTTTTCAGATCATGAGGACATCAGTTGCATATCTAAATTTGCTACGTACGACAAGTTGAAAAATTAATTAGATAAAAATAAGAAACTTTATTCGTAAAAAACATAGGATTTATATTTAATACAAATAACAAATGTTTGCAATGACACTAATTGACGCAAGCACAAAAATTTCATTATATTTATATACTCGAAATTTAATATAAATTCAATATAAATTCGTTCTTTATATTTGTATATTTAGATTTGTATTTTTTGTATATTTAGATGCATTAACGTCTTTTATATAATTTATAATTAAACGAAATATTTTCTCTGTTATATTAGAATATACATTTTTTAACAACCAATAATAAATTACAATATTTAATAACATTTAATGACTCATATAATGTTTTCATAAAAATACACATTATATAGAATTTAATCCTGTATAAAAATACATTATTTCTTTTAAATCATAAGTTTCATGCCAATGATACGTACGCGTAACCGATTGTAATCTCATAATTGATAAAAGTAGAATTTTGCAAAACATTTGCTTATTCTGTGCAATATTTTATATTTTTATATTCCGCTTTTATTTATATACGGTTATGCTGTTAAACATAGAAAAGTTTGTTATCGATGTTAGAGACATTTATCGTATCCAAGTTTTTTCTTTCTAAATTTTTGTATGCCATAAAATTTTAACTACATCATCTCAGTGATGATTTATAGTATTTAGGTTGATCGACGTATTCAATGCTATTCACATATGTCAATTGGAGAGCATATTAATGAATAATTTGATGAACGAAATCTGATGAAAAAAAGAGAAAATTTGGAGAAGAACCTGATCGTAGATATGGAATATTAAATCAAAAGTAAGTCTTGGTATGTTTATTTTATTTATAAATTATACCTATAATATTTTTTATAAGTAAAATTTTTCAACTTTACTTGTAAATTCTTTAATTTACTAGTATTAAAATTAAACAATTTATAAAATATAAAATTGATTAGTTTAGCTTCTGAGAGACTCGTATCTTTATCTATTTCAATCTACTTTCTTGTTCATTTATTTGTATTAAATTTTATATTTGTAGAATTTGTATAGAATCGATCTCTCGAAATTTTGCATAAAGTTGATATACAATGATTAGTAATTTAATATAAAATTAATATATCATATTCTATATTTTTTTTATTTTGCTACATCCTTCTTATTACATATAATAGAAATGAAAAATTTTTCAATAATTTACATTTTGCGTGCCTCTTTATCTCATTCATCATTATTTCATTACCTTTCTGAAGAAAAATGCCATTTAAGAATTGTCATGTTATGTATCACGCAATCTCTATATGATTCTTCATGTTTCAACCTTGTACTTTTTACTTAATCTGTAGTAAAGTAGTCATTGAGCACGGAACACGTGCATCGTCATCGAAAGATCAATACCGCTTTTCTCCACCGTGGTTGCTATTTTTTCTCTCTATTTTCTCGTACTTGCTACTTTCTAAAGTCACTGCACGTCCGTAACTTTGCAATACCTCCTTCCTCGAAAGTCCTCGATGTTTGCAACTTTTCCGCGATTTATAAAAGAGAAAAAAAGATTACAGATAATAATTGCTATATCTACTACCGATTCCATTTCTCTTCCGCTTTTAAAAGACGCAAGCGCACTGCCGTTACATTTCCCGCTTCATATCAGTACGTTAATCAGTTCCTTAGCAACATTTGAATCAAATGGATTATCAAGCACATACTATTCATAGAAACGACATCAGACGCACCGTGCAAGTGACGCGTTATGTTTTAAATTTAATTGGCGTATGGCCATCGCAGGACAATTCGTCCGGTTTCAGGCTCGCCTGGATAAAAATGTTTAGAATCCTATGTCAGATTCTACTGTACTTTATCTTCGTGCCAGGAGTGCTGAAAATGTTTCTCAAGGAGAGAAATACGCGTCGTCGCCTTAAAATGATCGGTCCTATGTGCAACTGTTTGATGGCCGTGTTGAAGCACGCGGTGCTAATTTGCCGAGGTGATCGCATCAAGGACTGCATCAGGCACATCGAGGAAGATTGGAGGAAATTAAATCTGGCGGAAGATCGTAGGATTATGATGGGCAATTCGAGAATCGGCCGTAGTCTCGCGATCCTCTGCGTAGCCTTCGTCTACGGCAGCGGATTTTCGTATCGCACAATTATGCCCTTGTCACGAGGAGTCATCATCACGCTACAAAATGTAACGATCAGGCCAATGGGATTCGACGGTTATTACGTGTTCTTCGATCCGCAAAAAACACCTGCTTACGAAATCGTCTTCATTATTCAGTTTCTTTCTGGATTCGTGCAGTACTCGGTAACCAGTGGTACCTGCAGTCTGGCAGCTCTTTTGGTACTGCACGCATGTGGTCAATTGAAAATTCTTATCGCCAGGATGAAGAATCTTACGCAGATTAAACAGTTTTGCGACAAAAACGCTAATCAGAAATTGGCAGCTGTTGTGAAGCAACATATTAGAATTAAGAGGTAATTATTGCGATCGTTTATGCCAATTAAATTTTAAAATCTTTTTAAAATGTTGCTCTTTGAATATAAATTAATAAAAATAAAGTAGTATTATTAATATCATCTTAGCTTTTTAAACAAAGTAGAAGAAATTTTGCAATATACGTGTCTGATAGAAGTAATCGGATGTACGTTCATATTGTGTCTTCTTGGATATTATATAATAATGGTATGAAATTTATTTTAAATAAGTATAATATTATATACAAAAATTGAAAATACAATTAACAGTGCAAAACATATTTTTGACGCGCGTTTTATAGGAGTGGGAAACTAAAAATGCAGTATCTATGACGACATATACTATACTTCTTTTAACATTCATCTTTAATATTTTCATATTGTGCTTTATTGGCGAGCTACTCACGGACCAGGTATTAAGCGATAATAGTTAATACAAATAGCAAAACTCGTTGATTGGTTTCATACGATTGTAGAGCATGAAAATGTACGTTACTTCTTGTACTCTCGATTGGTATCGCATCCCTCACAAAACTGCTCGTGGTCTCACTTTAATGATCGCGGTATCTAGTGTACCTATTAAAATCACTGCGGGAAAATTTATGGATCTATCTCTCAATAGTTTTGGTGCTGTAAGTGTTTCCATTTCATATATTTCTCATATATGTATATAATTTTTTTTTAAACATTAGATAATAATGATTATAGGTAAAGCTTTGTCTTGCAAATCTTAATTAATGAAATATTAAATGAACCATATAATTACGTTATTTTAGATCGTACGGACATCAGTAGCATATCTTAATATATTACGGACAACCAGCATTTAAATAATAAAATTTCAATTAAATAAAGGATGTAGAACCATTGTAGAGAATCTAAACAGAAGTTTATAAATTTCTGCCGAATGTAAATAGTACCGTTTGTAATATTAATTAACGCAAACACAAACATTTCCGAATCTTTCATTCTCATTTTGCTAGAAATTTTATATGTAAATTTATATTTTCTTTTACATTTGTATGATTTCTTATAATTATATTACAATTGTTATTTATAATTTAAAGTTATAACATAAATGACGTATCCACGTAACACATTTTTTATTAGCAAGTAATAAATCAATATTTTACTTACACGACATCCTGTTTACATAATAATAATATAGCACAAAACATATTATTCCTTTTTAATCGTAAATTCAAACTTGGTAATTACCGTATGGAGTATGACGGTCTTTTCTTTGCTCGTCAATCGTATTTTCATCCGGAAATTTGATTCGTAATATTTTTCTCATATATGCCCTTTATTACGCGCAGCCGTTTCGTACACGCAAGCGCATTGTTCTTACTGCATAAAAAGAGAGAGCCTATAATTACACACACCTGTTCAGTCGTGCTCGAGCTTCTAGTCTTGTTTGACCATCTGTTATTCGTAAACCTGAAATAACGTATGACGAAATTAATGAAAATTCCCAACAGTCAAAAGAGACGTGGCAAACGTGAAATACACGATCAAATTTATTACATATAAAATTTTAACTTAATAAACATTAATTAAGTAAAAAATACTAAATTATTAAAATGCCATCAGAAATGAAGCTAATCACGGAACGTTCGTCAAAAACAATTCAGGAAAACGAAAATCATTTCAATTATGCGGTACAAGTGACTCGCATTATTCTACAAATGATCGGTGTATGGCCGATACCGAAATTCGCATCTAACGCGAAAAAAATTGCGATTCGTTTGCAAAACGTTTTTTGCTATTTTTTATTTGCATTTATTCTTGTATCTGGTCTTTTATTAATATTTCTGAAAGAACGCGACTTCAAACGGAGGGTTAAGATGATAGGACCTCTTCTAAACTGTTGGATGGGTTGTATGAAATATAGTTTATTCATTTATCACGCGAAAGAAATACAATCGTGCCTGGAACAAGTACAACAGGATTGGCAGAGTACCGTCAATTGGAACGATCGAAAAGCGATGCTATCCAAGGCGAGAATAGGCCGAAAATTCGTCATCTTCTCCGCTGTCTTCATATACATCGGCGGCCTATCTATTCGTACCATTGTGCCGCTCTCGAAAGGACGAATGTTAACACCGATGAATACCACGGTAAGAGCTTTCTCGTATCCCAGTTACTTTGGCAAGTTCGACGAGCAAGCCTCGCCGGCGTATGAGATCGTATTTACCCTGCAATTCTTCGCGGGAATGCTCACCTATTCGGTGACATGCGGCGGGGCCGGACTAGCGGCATTTTTTATCATGCACGTTTGCGGACAGCTGAGTGTTTTGATCCGCAAACTGCAGCATTTTAATAACATAACGGAGCTGAAAGACCGAACTGTTGCGACTTTGTTAGCCAATATTGTGGAACATCAAATAAAAGTAAAAAAGTGAGCTTATAAAAGTGATTAAGTGAAGGAGGTTTTCATATAAATTTTTTTTATTTTTGTTACAAGTAAAAAATAATCATAAAATATAATTGATATAACACAATTTTTTTATGTGTTATGACTATTTTTCAGTGTATAACTGTTTTATAATTTTCTTCAAATTATAATATTATATTTATTATAATTATTATGAAAAATATTGTGGAAAAAATTTTAATACTGCAAATTAGATAAGTTATAATGATTTTTTATTTCTAACATTATTAATTAATTCTTAGAATTATAGTAACAGTGCTCTAAATGAAAAATTGTAAAAAAATATTATCAATTATTAACTAAATAAATTATTCATTTACAGTTTTTTGAAACAAGTAGAGGACGCTATGCAATTCATATGGTTAGTGGAACTAGTAGGATCTACTGCAATCTTATGTTTCGTAGAATATTACGTTATTATGGTAATCATGAAAAATACTTTCCACGAGATTTTGCATAATTAATTTGATGTTGATTAAATTAAATTAAATTAAACAGAGATTTATAGCTCTAATATAATATTCATTATAAAATCATTATAGTTTATTATTATAATTATAAATTTATATAATAAAATTCATTTATAATATTAACCGTATAGGAATGGGGAAATAGCGATTTTACAGCGATGTTAACTATGTTAACTCAGTTTGTGATGTTCATATCTTTTACTATTTCCATTTTTACTAATTGTTATGTCGGTCAACTTTTGACAGATGAGGTATCGCAATATTTGTATTATTTTTGTTGTGAAAATTAAACATCAACGTTGTCAAGCACTGTCTAAAAATATATAATCAATAATTGTAATAGAGCATCAAGTTTGGATTGAAAACATCTACGATAAATTGGTACCATCTTTCGTATCAAAGGGCTCGTTCTTTAATTCTGATAATAGCAATTTCTAATATTCCGGCAAAAATCTCTGCAGGTGGAATGATAGAAATATCTCTATGCACATTCAGTAACGTGAGTATAAAACAGAAAAAAATTTGACATTTTTGTTTGCCAACCGTAAATCACGAAATCTGTTTTGTTTCTTTATAGATTATGACAACATCGATGACATACCTTAATCTGCTTCGAAAATTTATCACGTGATTTATTTTCGATAAACTTTCTATGACTTAGATGCATTATGAGATATTTAAACATTTAAACTGTAATTGTAATTATTTTTGACACAAATAGAAAGACAAGATTTGCCAACAAATATTCTTTTCTTTTATTTTTTATTTTATTTTTCCACTTTTATTAATAATAATTTCCATAAGAAATCAGTTGCAAAATCTATTAATTAATTTACTTACTAAAATCTAATTTTATATATTTAGATATGACATGATTTGATCTCTTACTTTCTTAACCATTTACGAAAATAACATTAAATTTAACGGGTGTAAAATTGTAAGATTTATAATAATATATAAATAAATATATATATATATATATATATATATATATATATAATTTGAATATACATATCATATATTTGCTGATATATAAAATGTAATATCGAAAACAGATAATATAACATTTTCACGTCTGGCAAAGCTAATATCAAAAATATTAACTCGTTCGACAAAAAATTGATTAATCTAAACTTTATTACAGTTAAATTAATTTATCAAATTAATTATCTGAAAAACTACATTTAAAAGAAAACAAATTGTATTGCATTTTTACAATATAGTAACTTATACAATATATTGTAAAATTTAGCATGCAACACAAGTTAAAGAAATTACACTATTTATATTATTTTCCACTTTCCCTTTCTCTCGCATGTTCACACTGACGTAATTTGTATTTTATTAAAAAACACAGCTATTAGCAATCATTATCTTTCGTAAAATACGAAATACAATTTTTGCAAAATTATTATAGATATTCATAAGTAAGATAATAATTATAATATTTAATTTTGTTGACTTTTGACTAATTAATTGAAAATTATATACCGGTAAAGAATCTACGATTAACATTCATTTTTTAGATTTTATAGTTATACAGCTTTTATCCCTCGTTATATCTCTCCTACATTATACATATTCTCTAAAACACAAAGTTATAAATCACTTTCTCATAAAAAGTATCAATTATTTTTCACGTTTACGATTGAATACGTAATTGGATGTAAATCGTTTCGCGTATTTCTTTTTCAAGATTGTGGACAGCTTAACTTGCAGCTACACTCAACGCACAATGTATCTTTTCAAAGATATTTCGCTTTTCCAATCAGTTTAACATAGTTAATCGCATTTTTTAAAAACTTATCTATGAGAAATAAATATAATTTTATTCTATTATAAATCACATAATCATATGAAGTCTTAATTTCGATATACTTGCATGATTATGTGATTTATAATATAATAAAATTATTAAGCATATTATTATTTTTATAATTAACAGAAAATTCATCAATCTTAAATAAAATAGAAAAATCTATCTTAAATATAAAAATTAAAATTAATAAAACAAAAATATGACATTTTATTGTTAATAAAATATATAATTTTTTTAAGATTATATAACTTCTTAAGCTTTCATCGCCTTGCCAAAACATTTCCAAGAATTATTTAATAGATATAACAACGTGTATAACAGATTGTAGAAAAAATAAAATGTGTAAATACATAAATATAAGATAGAAAGAATAAAATAAGAATGTTTGAATATTTTGTATTAAAAAATTCGCATATTTTTCTTTTTATTCTGTATTTATACACTACAATTAACGCAAATTTAAGAAAGACTTATTCTATTTTTATACTATTTCATATACGCGCGAATTATATAAATACATATTATCTTTACCTTGTGTATATATGTATATATTATAATCTATGTTACTTTAAGGGAAAAAATCTTCAGTCTTTATGAAAAGGAAGGCACCCAAAATCTCGTATATCTAATTCATGAACAGTAGCAGAAATAGTTCGAGAGAAATAATCTTTCTTCATCTTAAATCAATATGACTATAAAATGCACTCTTTATTGTCCTGATGTAACTAATAGCATGACAACTTATTTCTTGAAAGGGAATCCTCACGAAACGACGCAGTCATACTTTACTTCCTGCGCTTGTATTTTTGCACAATCCTTTCAATAGCGAGATCTTGCGCTTTAATAATGTACAGAATTCTTCACATCTAGTACCGTTTATGATATTAACTAACGCAGACACAAATTTCCAAATCTTTTATTCTCATTTATACCAGAAATTTTATATGTAAATTTATTTTTTTTTACATTTGTATACTTCTTATAATTATATTAGAGTTGTTATTTATAACCTAAAGTTATAATTTAAATGAAACAGTATCGACGTAACAAATTTCTTATTAACATATCACTCATAATATTTTACTTTCATGACATCCTGTTTAC